CTCTTACCTTTTACAACAAGAGGTACACTGTAGCTATCTTTACTAATAGAATTTTGAACTTGACAAGTAAAATTTCCACTGCTATATCCAGTAAGTTTTTTTACGGTCAAAAATGAGACTTCTTTTAAGCTATTAATTTCAAAAAGTGAGTTACTTTTTATTTCCACACCATTTTTATACCACTTAAAATGCAGCGGACTATCACCTTTACTGACGACGCACCCGAGCTTGGCTTGTCCACCTTCTGTCAAATGGTCTGGAACTGTAAATGGCTGAATTTTGGGCTCTTCACCTAGATGTAAAAATCTTTATTAGATACGAATTTTGCAATGAAAAATTATAAAAAACTGATAATTTTAGATGAAATAAAATCTTATAGTAAGAGGGAAGTATCGTGGTTTTTAAATATAACTGATGTCAGAAATAATATAAAAATCAAAAATATTAATTAATGTAGTTTTATTAGTAAGTTATTCAGCATCTATCTACAGTAATGTTTGAGCCCAGCACCTTTCAAATTGTAGAAAAATCGTAGAATTTGACAATAATTTCAGTATTGAACATTAAAGACAATTTCGTATTATAAAACAAAACTAAAATTTGCATGAGTTCAAATTAAATCCAACCTAAAATTTAGAAAGGATTAGAATTTAGAAATAAGAAATTGAAACTGAAAGATATCGAAATATATAAATTTATCCTAGATTTTAAACTTAAACTTTATTGCGAGAAATGATGTCTAAAACTCTAATGAAAGTTTTGTCCAATAACTTACTGTTTTATCGTCCAGCTTTACTATATATTATCTTATATAAAGCTTTTAAAATACGTAAAACCTTTTTATTAACTTCTTTAATTACTTAATATCGCTTAGCCTCATTTTATACTAATTATTGTTCGACATTTTGGTCCAGCCATAATTCATTTAGAGAACTCTTTGTTGTTCTAATGAATTAAAAAATTATCAGAAACGAAGCACTTTATTATTATTATTATTATTGGCAGATTTACTTTTTTTACAGGTAATAACAATTTAAAGTACTTTCTTTCTAGAAGTCTTTATAATTCGAAATATTTGGGGCTTAAATTTCTTTCATGCTTGCTATAAATTTTCTGTTACAGTGATTGGATATCTTCAGCAAAATTATATATAAATTTAAATACCAGATTTTTAAGTTTTAATGAATTGCAGGAATTTATAAACTATCTTAATTAATTTCGAAAAATAGAAATATCCATTTCATGGAAAATAGTTGCTCTTTTTCGATTAATCGTTTCTTATTTATTACAGTGTACAACTATACTTATAGGAGTCCTTAAATCTGGATATTCGATTTTCCAGACAAAGCGAACTTTTCTTATTAAATAAGTTATAATTTTAGTTCATATTAAAATACTTGGTTAAAGCCTTGAGTAACAGAATTTTTGTAAAACTCACTTTTTATTAGCTAATATTAGAAGATCGTTATAAAAATAACGTAAATAAAATGACATCATATTATATAAAATATATTTCTACTGTTGGTTTTAAATGGAAATATTTTAATCAGAGTCACAGAAGCTTAAAATGTTTCATGAAATTTATGGAAAAAGCACATTGAATTCCTTTCTTCTAAATGTGAAAAAAATATTAGTGGCTTTCACCGAATCGACAAAAATACTTTTGGAGTAAACTACGATGTTAAGAAACTGATGTAAAGCAGTATATTGTACCTTTCATTTCGTACGGCTGTCGTGCTTGGGGACATGTTCTTGCCAAGAAGGTTAACAAAAGAAATTTAAGAAAGATTGAACGGAGAATTTTTCTTCGTATTATTAGTGGTTATAGAACCTTAAGCTATGAGGCAACTTTTGTTCTTGCAGGAGTTCCGCCTATTGATTTTGAAATTGCATATAAGAATAATATTTTCGAGTCATTGGCAACTGATACTTTGGAAGACTGTATTAATGGAATTGTCCCCTTCACTTATCTTCCTCATCCCACTACTTTAGAGCCCATAAATTTCTGCGATTATAAAGAGACTGCTGAAATGAGTTTTCATATGGTTCTTTACAGATGGGCAGCAAGATGAACAACAAGGTTGGCCTTGCATTTGTTATTTTTGAAGGCCATTCCGAAGTTTGTTTCTTTTAGACACCGTCTACAGAATGAATGCACAATTTTTCAAGCAGAACGTCTGTGCTTTTATCTTGCCGTCAAATGGATCAAGGATAATGGGACAACATCCTCAAGGTATCTTATTTGCTTTGATTCTCTTTCTTCTCTTCAATTTTTGAACAGTATTAACAGCTGCTACAAATTAGTTATCGAAACCCTAGTAACTGTTAGTTCACTTAGAAATAGAAGAATTGATATCCGCTTTGCTTATGTGCGTGCTCATCATGGTTTCTATGGAAATGAAAGAGCTGATTTCTTAGCTAAAGATGCCTTACATTTACCCATTGATATGAACATTAGCATTCCAAAGAGCTTTTGGAAGTTTTTCATTATAATGAAATGGCTTATTCCACATAGCTGAAAGCTTCTTATAAGAAGCTTTCAGCTATGTGGAATGAGGAATATATTTCATCTTGTAATGCTGAGGTCACCAAACAGTTCTTTCCTTCTATTTACCATAGACTGCATTCCGAGTCTTTCCTCTCTATAAATTTTAAAGTGTCTCAATTTTTATCTGGTCACGGTAAATTTGCAAGTTACCTGTTTCGTTTTAATCTAAGAGTAAACAATTTATATGAATGTTCGAAAAGAGTACCTCAGGATGTGGAACATTTGATTTTCTCATGCCCTACATTTGATGGCCCTAGATTATGATTACATAACGATTTGAAAATGTTCGGAGTGACTTGGTCATTGAATTTATCTGTTTTCGTGAAGTACAGACTGCTGTTCTCTGCTTTTGTTCATTTTATTTATGCATGTGGCTTTTAATGTTTTACTTAACTTACTTCTGTAAGCCCCGTGTTGTACACATTTGGTGCACGGGGAGTCTGTATGTTTTCAAAGAAAAAAATGAGGAATGAGAAATCTTTCTCCCCTTTAGAACTAATATGACAGAGTATTACTTATTTAGGAACAATGATGTCTTGTAAATTAAATTAAGGTATCAATATCTTTTATAATCTAAATGTATTGGAAAAGATGAACATGGAGTAAAAACTTGATGTCAAAAACTAAGGGAAAATATGCAGTTTTATATCATGATGTGGACAACAAGCTAATCTAAATTACGCATTAAAATATTATTTTAAAAATTTATTCATTATGATCAAAAATGAGACATAACAAGGAACCATAATGTAACATGTTTTTATAATTTATCTCAATGAATTAAAAATATATTTTAGTCACACTGTTTATATTCATTTTACAACAAATAAACTTGCTTGAGTTCTATGCCGCTTTATTGAAGCTTCATTCAAGTTTTGTAACCTCATCTCAGTGAATGTGTTGTTCGAATTACTTTATTTTGTTTGGACTATATAGAAAGAGAATTTATTCAGAAGTATGGTGTATATTTTCACATATTTACAGTTCAACTTTAATAGAGACAAGGTGACTGGACAACGGTAGATCTAATAACAGTTTCAAATAATGATTTGAAAATGTCCGAACCAAAGGTAAAATTTATATAATTTAGAAAGATAACATAGCTCTTAGAATTAAATATAAAGTTTCTCTCGAATGTCTTGAAAATTAATTAGAAGTTTATTACAATGCTACATAATTTATTCAGTGATAATACATGATATGTTAAGGTCTTAAACAAATTTTTTGGTTTTCCGTATTACGTAACTTTCAATTTTTAAGTTAATAGCACAAAACTCGACGACTGTCGGGTCGCTATTTGTTTCTCTATTCATCTTATGACACTGCAATTCAAATTAAGAAAGTGGTGAAAATGATTTTAATTTTTATTTTATTATATAATTAAACCTCGTGACTTTTAAATGCGATATTTTTTTGCTACCGTATCAGAAGATATATAAAAGACTTTTTTCTCTCAGGTATTTCAAAAAATATAAACAAAATATAATTTATTTAGGGTTTTATACTATTTTGATGGAATTCTTTTTGTTAAAACTAATTATTTATTTTAAACTTGAAAGAATTTTTGATTCAGGCATAAAACAATTATTAAACTAAAACATTTAAAAATTGATATTGATGACATTTTAGAGGTATAGTAATTTATTCCACTACTTAAAGTTACTACAGTAAAATAAAAACAAACTACAAACAATAAAACAAACTACAGTAAAATAAAAACAAAATATTTCATATGCAGTAAGGAAGACAATAGATGGATATTCTATTTTTTGAAGTTTTCCAGTTTAATAAATTAATTTTGATACGAAATGCACTGTAATGTAATATAATGAACACACAAATATACTTTTCATAAGATGGGCATGTTTCAAATTAGAAACAAAAATGAAAATAAGAAAAAACAAACAATTTACTGTGAGGAATAATCTAAAATGACACTCACCAGAAGATAGGACACAGGTTTGTAGAAATGAAAGCATTATATAGATTTCCAGGAGACGTTTCGTCTTGCTCATATTCAATCTGGCCGAAATATAAAACGTTATTGCATACAAAGCACACATTTCAAACGATACATGACGCTTTCGAAAGCACACTGGAAGTTGTTTTACAGATTCAAAGTATAAATACGTCTTTTGCACAAAATGGAGATCAAAATGAGAGTAAAGTTTAACGAAACATAGGAAACTAGCGCCACATGTTGACGGAAAATCATACTATTTGAAAGCATTTATTCGCCAAATATATATACCATATATAATAAATTTTTCAGTACAAACTTCTTTATTAACGCATGGAATGCAGCTTAGAATGATTTACATGAAGGTCATTAAATATTTAACTGCTCTGAATTAACTACAGAAAGTGTAATATGAAACAATTAAAATCTAAGAATGCAAGTTTCATAGAAAATGAGATTTTATTACGGCACTCTTTTTTAATTTTATCTTACCATGCACAATGAGATTTGCTGCTTTCCGCAGTCTTTCTCCAATACCATTTCCAGCTTCACAAATATATTTACCAGCGTTTTCTGTGTTTACTTGATGAAATGTTAAATTGCCATCGTTTTGATTTCTTAAAATAATAGTCTTTTCTCCTAAAAATAAAGATCAAACTAAAAATACAATTAATTTGACATCATACAAAATTTGTGGCTTATAATTTAAAATTTTTTAAAATATTTTAAGCAATTATCATTTCAAGCTTTGAATGAATTATGATAAGAAAGATACTTTTATTTCAAATCCTCAAGATTCACCTTCATGAACGGAGAAAAATGCATCTAATATCTTAATTTCTACGACATAAATTATTTACAGGATTTACACAAAATAAAATAAATATATTAAAAAATTATTCGAAGTGTAACTTTTAATACAGCTTTACAAGTAACAAAAAATATTCTCATGTTTCCAGTGATAGTATGACTAAGAACATTTTGAAAATATAAATAATAATAAAATAAGTGATAATTTCTCAGTTTAGGAAAATATAAAAGGTATCATCTATATGGAAATAAAAAATGTAAGTGGTAATTTTTCATTTTAGGAAAATACCAAACGCATCATATTTATGAAAATAAAATTAAAAAAAATGAGTGCACACGTATAGTTCCAGTTTGTTATTTATGAGCTTAATTAATAAATTTAGAAAGATCTTGTATGTATGGAAATATATAGCATATATAAATTTTATATTCCTTTTAATACGCAGATAAAAAAGGTGTTCGGACAAAAATAAGCTAAAAATTATATAAAAACCTTCATCTTAAATTTCAAATCAATGAATCCTAAAGAGCAAATTCTTCTTACCTTCCCATTTCTTCCAGGTGTATGTGGGCGGAGGTGACCCATCAGCTACACATGTTAAAATAGCAGTTTTCCCTTCTATAATTTCAATATCTACAGGTTCCAAAACCCAACGAGAAGGCGCTATATATAATATTTGTACTGTTATTTCTTCAGTTTGCATACATCCATTGAAAAGATTAAATACTTGAAAATACGTACAAAATTCTTAAATTAATAAATGATAACTCTGAAATTCAAAATTAAATTATCTATATATAATAATACATTTTTGTATAAACTGCTAGCTTAAAAACACTCATTTTAATAAAAGTAGCTTACTTGAACTAGCTTAAACACATTTCCAAATCTACACAGCAATTTATTCCGATTTGTTTACTTGTTTGTTTAGTTAATTATTAACGAGGTATATTTACCTAACGCAAATATTCGTAGTAATATGCATTCGTAGAGAACTTTTTAATGAAATTGATTCGCACACAGTCATGGGGAAAACATGAAACAGCCAGGGTAGTCAACCCATTCCTCAGAATTTGAATGCGGGCTGAATTACAAGTATTCAGTGAGCTTAACAATTTGGTCAATGATGTGCCCTTTATTTCAAAGAATTATTACAAAATAGTTCCATTCATATTATTACTAGGGAAATTTATTTACTTAAAAAACGGAAATATACATCATCTAACTTTAATTTTAAAAGATTATTTTATAGAACATAATTTAAGTATAATAAATGTTTTTTCATTTAATACTTCTTAACATTAAATCACTCTTTCTAAATTTTTAACATAATATTAATTTTAATTTATTCAACGCCAATTTTTTGCAAGCATATGTAAATTTACCTCAACTTCATATTATTTATTTATGTGCAAATATTAAACAATCAGGTATATTTGAAATAAACTAATGCATTTAATAAAATTTATAAAATTGGTTAAAACATTAATCCTGAAGCAAATTTTAACTTTTTACGCGGTGTCTTCTCATTACTTTTCCGCTGAAAGACTCAATGTTCATTTATAGAAAATTTAACCCAAAGTGTTACTGTACAAGATACTGAAAACAGTAACAAAATTAATCCCTGTTTTTAATTAATTTTCACAATCTTATTTAAAGTAAATGATATCAAATGATTTTCTATAACTGAATATGCACTTTCAGTAGTAAATATAAGAAGTGGAATCAATTTGCTGCACAAACTTTCAGTTTTACTTTTAAAGATCATTTAACCATTTATATGACGACATGAGCATTGATTCGTAATGATCGTATGATGCGTTTATCGTAATGATACATGTAAAAAAATTCATGTTTTTATACTTTTAGTATCATATACTTAATTTAAATGTTTAAGAAAAACGGAACAAACTACGGAAATGGAAAACAACTGAAAAATATTCATTCTGTTTCCCTATGAGAAATAAACTACATAATACAGTTTAAAAAGTTTTGATTAAATAAAATTAGAGGTAAAACGGATATAAATCAATTTTAAAAATTTCCATTTCACTACTAAATAAAAAACTTCCGCGCTTTAAAATGTAAGGAATGAATAAAAAATATTTTACAGTGACATTCGGTATTTGTTAAAAAAGAGAATTTAGTTTCTTTTGGTTAACTACCCTTTTCAGATCCAGCACCCTCTGATGGATCATTATATTATCTATATGATTATTGTATAATGAAAACAATGTTATTTTAATAAAATTCTACTATTCATTAAAATACACAGCAATAGCATGCTTTATAGAACCGTAAACATTCCGACATTTTCTCAGTAAATCAAATAAATATCGCAATCAAGTACATAATAAGAAATTTTTAGAAAATTACTTTGGTAGCCTTCTGTAGAATGCTTTTATAACAATGATAAAAGATTTAAAAGTATATGTAAGTATTTCTATAACTCAAAACGAATTTTTATACTGAAAACTTACCTTCCACCACCAAAACTGCTGAATGTTCATCTCTTGCAAAACTATTTGTAACAGAACACGTGTAATTTCCGGAATCTTTTGGATTTACGGGTTCAATGGTGATAACTGAAATATCATCCATAGTTTTTATTTTTACGTTATTTGATTTAGATATTTCTCTGCCATCTTTAAGCCACTTAAATTTCAAAGGCGGTGTGCCTTGTTGTAGTATGCAAGCCACAGAAGCTTTTTCCTTTATCTCTACCATTGTTGGAAATATGAAAGGGAGTACTTTTGGAGCATCTGTAAAGAAGTAAGCAAAATTTTTATTTCTTAAAAAGAATTTTATTCCTTTTTAGAAGTTTTTAATTTCAGTGTTTTCAAAGTATACCATAAAAAGCTAATTTAAAAACAAGCCCTAAATCATAATTTGCTTTATGAAATTGAAAACTGACTTTTTATATAAATATATAATTAAGTCATTCCCGAAATTAATTATTCATTTTTAAGCATTACATTAAATAATTAAGTGCAATAATTTTCATAAATTTATTATTTATTTTTCTTATTATGCGATCTTTCCGAATAGATTTTTCAAGAAAAATTATTCTAGTAATTCCTTAGTTTGAAATTGTTTACATCGAAATTTTGAAGCTTAAAATACATGAAAATTAAATATACTAATCTTCCTTTTCAAGAATAACAATTTAAATAAAATATTTAAAGTATTTAAGAAAGGAAACCTTCAAAATAAATGACGAGATCATGAAAGCAAAATTAAAAGCATTATTCATTAAATTATGTGCTTTATCCCCATAATTGGATAAATTGAAACGAAATGTGATATTGATTGAATTATGCAAAATTTAAAAATTTTCAAATAATTAATAACATTTAGAAGCAATATATTGAATACAAGTTACTTACCAGAGCCAAGTAAAGAGCTGAAGAAGTCGAACATAAGATAAAGTTGTAAGACTTTTCCTATCAGCGAACACTTTTCCATAGCTTTATGCCGGTGTTTATGTCATTCGGAAACTGAAAATATATTCTAGAAACCTCGGAAAAATTTTCAAAATAAGACTGCGTTATAAGGTAACAAGTCTTCTGTTGTCATTCTGGAATTAGCGAGACACAGCAAACGCAGCGTCATTTAAAGTAGAGCAACCATTTAGAAAAGGTTTCGACTGGAAACATAGCGCCACATCTCGGCAATATTACTAACTATTTTAGACAAGAAAATAAAAATGAGTTTCGTTTAATAATTTAAAATTAATGACAGCTTAGAGTTTTGTGTAATTCACATTAATTATGTTTCCTTTGTCTTTCGTAAACAAGAAACATAAAACCTATTAAAACTGTGGAATTACATCTATATCAATAATAAAACATTACGTCAAAAGAATTTATGAAACAATTCCGAGCGTGTAACACGTATAAAATAAATTTTGCGGGTTTTATAATATTTACTTACGCAAATAACATTGCAGTTAACCTATTATTCACAATGAACTCTAGGTCATTCAAGCATCATTCCGTTGAGCCAAGTCACTCTTGAAATTATAAATTTTGCATACTGACCCAGAATATAAGTATATACATATTACGTTAAGGTGCCAGTGTGTTCACTGATCGAAAATAAATGCACAACATATAATTAATATAAATCATAAGAACAATTACTGGCCCCCATAGAAATGTTTTAAGTTTTTAAGTCCAACATATTTTTATTTAACATTTCAGACATTTATTTATATTCAAATAATTATGAAGAATATAATGTCAATAATTTTATTAACTGTATAAAAACAGAGCTGATACGATGAAAAATACAGTAACCTGAGTTTACCGTGGACTATTAAAGATACTTTCTTTCTCAACTGATCTCCAACTTCGCTGGTAATTTCACATAGATATGACCCTTCGTCATCTTTCAAAACAGGATTCAATAACAACGTGCCATTAGAACTGGGCATAGTTTCTTCATTAAACATATGATGCTTTTTGTTGAAAGAGGATTCTAAAACATAGATATTCATAAAACAGTTAAAAGCTAAAATTTCATAACATGAAAACAACAGAAAATTAAATGAATAATAATTGAAAATTAAATAATTTTGAGTTTCGTTTTGGTTCTTCTAGAAAAACACTTTTAAAATAAAAAAGAAAGTTTAATGCTTATAAAAACTGAATCATGAATAAGAAGACAGGCATAAAATAAAATGTACTGATAAAACAGCAAAATGTCGGCAAAAAAATACATCTCGGGTATGTGCAAAAGTTCTATACTTTTATAAATTCAAATTACGATAGGATAACTTATGTTATAGATGCTGCAGCTATGACTGGAATCTTTGGCGAAAAAAGAGTGGAGATGTATAGTATACATTGCGTTTGTTCGAGGTATTCATCCTTTTGAAGCTTTAAAATCGCGAATCAGAAGTCCATTAGACATACGTGTTTACAATACGAATTTAATAAAAGCAGCACTTCAGCCTCAGATTGCTGTCTCATATGCAAAGTGGAGTCGATTGTAGCATATATCGTCTTAGCATATATCGTAGCGAATCTCTCGGACAAAGAAAGAAGTTTCAAAATGCAGCTGCGTTCTGATCGTACATCAGCGAATATGAAAGATGTTCTGGATCAAGTTATTATTCACTATAAACTGCTCTCGAACTAACAGAAATGTAGTTGGTACACAGAACAACAGTTAAAACAAGGATACTAGCTCTTGGATTCATCAGGAAGTTCAATTTGTTGTTTCCAACAGCTGTCTGCACTAAAGAAATGAAGAAAGTTGGTACCAGCATTTGTTTGCCTTTTCATTAAAATGAATTAACCACTTTTCAGACTAGCTGTAACGTAGATAGGAAGTGAGTTCTGAATCGTAATGCTAAATTTTCAAGGATTGTTTGCCAAAATGAAGTCATCTTAGGGATAATTTTATCGCAAAAGGCTTTGTTAAGTAGTTGGTGGAATATAAAGAGAAAATTGATTGGACTGAGCTAACATCTGATTGAATGTTAAATGCTAACCTCTACTTCGAGACTGAAAGGAAAACTGACATTAAAATTGCTAGGACTTGACAGCCGATTAAGTGTTACCTTTCAGCATGCTAACGCCAGACCTCATGCTGCTTTTATCACCCGGCAAAAATTACCAGACTCTTATTGGAGTCAATGATTTTTTTTACCATTAAAGGATATTTTCGATATTGTGAAGAACATGAAAACTACATTGCAAGATCTTTCGACTGTAAAATAGGTAAGAAAATAAAATCAGAGTAGATAAGCATATCAGATATAAATAAACGTATCAGCATATCAAATATAATAAACAGGTAAAGTATAACTTAAATAAAGATGTGAATAAAGTGAAATGATATCCATTTTATTTTTCTGGGTTCTCTGACGTTCGTTTTCTTATAAGACGAATAGGAAATCTACAAACACCTAACAATCTATGCACAGAAAACAGACATTTACCGAGGAGAAATTCTTCAAAAAAAGGTATTACATAAGTATAATGAAGCGACATTTGCAGAGATTGTGTGTATTATTGGTTAAATAAATCCAAAGCAATATTTATAAACTATGAAAACGTGTAGTTTTTAAATATACTCACACTGATGAAGTATGTTCATAATATTTCAAAATATTTTAACTTAGTATGCACATATCTTATATACTTTAAAAAATTCAGTTATGCACAGTTTTTAATTAGAAATATTCATTTAAAAAATTTCATTTTCCTGCGTATTTGCATGATAACATTTACCTGATCTTTTCCAAATTATTTGAGGTTCGGGTTTTCCTCCAGCGTAGCAGTTGAAAGTTACACTTAGGCCTTCAATTGTTTCAATATTTTCTGGCTCCTTAATCCAATAAGGTGGAGCTAAGAGAGAAGTTCAACAACATATATTTTAAATAAGAGAAGAAATAAAGTTAAATGTCTAACACTATTTATATAAGATTGCTTTTCTAAATTTAGCAAAAACCTCGCGTTTCTTATTTATTTCATGAAGGATAAGGAATATACATCTAAGATTGTCTATTAGAATTATAATTTCTATTCTGAATATTAAAATTCAGAACAGAAAGAACAGTTTAGACACTGGTAGTTCAGCTGTTCGTTATAAGATTGAAAGATGGTGGATGCATATGTCTGAAGCGAAAACCTTTTTCAAAGCTTTTAAACAAAATTAGTCTTCCTTAACAGAAAAAGGACTTCCTTTATAAAAAAATTTTAAAAAATGTGCACTTAAAAATTTGATTTTCATATAACAATTCCAGCAGAGCGCATCTGTGTGACTGAAAAACAAACTAAGAAAATTTAACGGTTATATCATATCGAAAGTATTATTTCACTCTCGTATGCCTTCAGAAAATTTTCAGTTATTTTTTATCAAATGTTTGTTTACTAAACAGAGGTCTCTCCTTCATGTTTTGAACTAAAAGATAATCTATCCTTTTTTGCATTTGATCTTACAATTCTAATATAAAATGTCTTGTACCAACAGAAGGTTTTGAGATTATGTATTAGGAAATGAGATCAAAATTTACAAAATATAGGATCTCAAAAGATTAATGCATGAGACAAATTACATAAAATTTGTACTTTTACCTTCGAAATTTATTTTGTGTTTTGCTTTCAACTGCTCATATTTAAATTATCTTAAGATTTCTTCGAGTATCCCCGCCCTTCTGTAACTAATTTTATCGTCCGAAAAAATAGATGGGAAAGTTGAACTATTTAATGTCAGAATAGTGCGGTTACAATAAGAACATAACAAATGAAAAATAATTATATTTAAACTACTTGTAAATCTTACAATACTATTTCTTTAAAAGAAACCTATATTCCAATAATAATATAATAATATAACGTTACAATATTTGATCTATATTTAGCAGATATCTAACTCTGCGTCCAGCTCAGTTACCTTGCAAAGCCCGAGAAGAGCCTTCATCAATTAATCTTGACTACAGTTCTTAACAGGGACATCGAAGGAACGAAGGAGGAGGGAGCGAATAAAAGACCACAATTTCGAAAGAACGAGTACATCAGTAATAGATAAAGCTAAGATAAACGTAAATAAGAGAAGTAAGATGAAATCTCTTGTTTGACAGTTTCTTAAATGTGAGAACACCTGAACGTCCAAGAACCTTAATGAAGAAACTGTGCGAAATATGTATCGAGTAATAAATGCGAGAAAAATAAAATGGATGAAAGACTAATACAAAAGTACAAATTGAATACACTGAAGAAAAATAATCAAAGGAATACATTTTACCAATAATATACCTTCAGAGGGGAAATTGTGTGAATATTTTAATAATGCTTTAAACCTGCTGCTAAAAAGCTAGGGAGGAAACTATGCGAAGAAATACGGCAATGGCTTAAACTTCAAAAACAATTTGTTTTGGTTTTTCCTTGTAACTTGCATGTACGTATATCTAAAATGTTTTTCATTGTTTACTGCTGGAAAACAATTATAACTGAACACTTAATTTTGAAAGCAGTCTTAAGCCATGACATTTTTATGTTTGTGGTGAAATTAAAATTTTTATTAAAAATTTTTAAAGAAAAAAACATACAAAGTTTGGGATAATATACGTACATAAATTTAAAAAATTAAAATTACTTAATTAATTTACGTAAATTAATTTTATGAAGAAAGAAGAAACAGGTGCTTCTAATCGCAAAATTTTTAACTTAAACAATCTTGCTTAAATCATCGAGTTATTCAGCTTTCTCAAAAAATGCAAGAATATATAATGCGTCTATTCAAAGCAATATTTGAGGGCTGGAGATGAAGGAACTACTCCACTAAGCAACACAGCTCATTTCCAGCTGTATGGATTTGAATATCACCCAACTCAGTGATGGTAACAGAATTTAAAAACCAGAATACTAGACACTTTTCTCTATCTTGTTCATTAATGTTGTTTCTAGCGATAGCATTATCTAATACCATTCTGTTTTGCTCATTAAAGCTGTACTACTTAAATAATAGCAATCTTGCTGCTGCATTTCTCATACTATTTAAAGATACATCGATGAACGTTACTAATTCCTTTACTATTCACGTGAAATAAGATTTTACACTGATAACTAAATAATCATTTTATCGTACTGAGGGGCTATTAATTTCGTATAGCATATTTCGTTAACTAGGCTTGTTTGCAATGGATATGGTTTGTTAATGTGTTCACATAGCCATCCAAAAAATCCCAGTTCATTTCTATCACCTCAAAATAATTCGCAATAACAACTCATGAAATATATATATATGTGTGTGTGTGTATTTAATTATAATATTCCAAGAATGCCAAAGTTATTAGTCAGCTGTTTTCAGTTTATTTGATCTGATCCTCTATGCTTCTGACTTTAAGAATTTTTCAAGTGAAGGATTTACAGAGCTTGTCCTGATAATTTGGTAACGCTGTAAGATAAACGTAACATCAGTCTCGGCCAGTTGAATATTACAGTTATGTAAAGAATTAAATTTGTGATCTACCAAACAATGTAGCATATTAAACAGTTCAATCCCATGGGATTAAAGAGGTTCACTTCTTATGCTTGCACTGTTTTTTCAGTATCTTATACAGTTTTTTAGCATTTAAAACACAAGCTGTCTCTCGATTAAGATATAAACAGAAATGGTTTAATTACTATTTCCAATACATACAGTAATTTTGATAAATTAGGGAACTAGTAGTTTTCAACAAGGCTGTTGAAAGGATCAAGTAAGTTTCTAAAAGACGAATTCAAAATAACAGAAATAATTATCTCTAACAAGCAAGTACTATAGATAATTTTAATTTTAATTTCCAGCTCTAAGAACCATAAATACTAGACAAATACAGGGTTAAATTCAAAATTATTCCTCAAGATTAATTCTAAGGCCTCCATATGGTGTAGTGGTTAGGGGAGACCTGACTGCGATACCGAAGGGACCGGGTTGGAATTCCGGAGAAGGCATGTATGTAAAATTGTCTGTTCCTTCTGAGGTGATAACGGTGGCTGCCTATTTCAGAAATTGTATACTTTTGTAGAATATGTATTTGAGAACTAAGGATGACGAAAAATAACGCAATGTAAAAGTTGTTCGAAATTTATGATTCTATGTACTTACCTGTTACAATAAGAAAGGCAGAATAACTACTTGTTCCGTAAGAATTACTAACTACACAAGTGTAATTCCCTGCGGAAGAAGCTGTAACTGGATCAATGGCCAGACTAGAAAATTTTTCGTTTGTCGATGTATCTTTAGAATAATTTTTGATTAAATATCCATTTTTATACCATTTGAAGGTAAAAGGAGCTTGACCTCTCATTACAGAGCAAAAGAAACTAGCACTGTCTCCTATTTTCAGTTTAGGCAATATTTGAAAAGGCTGAATTTCTGGAGCATCTGAAAAGGAAAAAAAATCTTTCTAAGATCAAATGATTCACTATAAAGAAATACGTAATTATTAAAAACTATTAATTTTCATTTGATAATATTTATCGCATATGATATCATAAAAATTATCATTTTCTTCGCTTGCGTCGTTAGAATGCTTCAAACTAGTTTTTTAGCCTACATAAAATGTTTCACTGCTTACTGTAATTATTCCTTTTCCTCTTTGTTCCAGGGAAGGAAACATATGAGTGAAGGTGTAACTCTTTACTTCCATGCAATACAAACCTATTTATCTTACCCATTTATCTCACCATTAGAATATTTGATTTTATACGAAAATTTTAGTAGATATCACAATAAGAATGCGATATTTTTCCTGTGACCAGTAATAAAAATTCGATTTTAAGGAGATATTAAGCGTTAATTTATAATTAACCCTTTAACAAATATCTAGTATACATTTTTTGATTTGACAAAAATAAGGGTTTACACATATTACTCTTTATTACACAAACAGTAAAACTATTTTTTCCAACATAACGGTAGAAACTAAGATGCCAGACTATCGAAATTCAGTTCTATGCTTCAAGCTATAAACAATGTAAATCATCAGATTAATAACGAAGTACGAAGAAGAGCTGCTACTTAGAGATAAAAAATTCGAATTAAGCTAAGAATAACATCTCTTGTTTTAGGTATATGAAACATCTCTTGAAAAAGGAAGAATAAAACCACTTGCAGAACTTGCAGATGAGCCTGAGACAAAATAGTAAAAGGCAAAGTGTTTTCTAGTGTGGAAAATTCAGTCAGTCAAATTATAAACTTTTATTCTTTCGATGTAAAGAATGATTTTGATAAGCTTAAATTATTTAAAATTCAAGCGTATATTTCAAGACTCCGTGTAAAGTAAATTCGAAAATTTTAACGATGTCATATCATTTGAAACTCCAGATTAAACTTAAGATAAGGACAGATATTTAGATTAACCAGCACATTGAAAATTGATATTATATACATTTAATGAAAGTGAAAACAAATTACCTTATAGTACGGAAACAAAATGAAGCTCAAGAAATACGAAAAATTGCAATTCAATACTTTATTTAAAGCATTATCCATCTTAAGGAAATACTTTTAGGAAGCATTAAAGGAAAAGCAAAATTTTCAGTAAAACGTCTGTCGGAACATTTTGGTACATTAAAATGTAACAAAATGAATTCAAAATTTTTTCTATGGAGATATGTGATCTGTGAATACTTTATTTAGATTTTATCTCAAAAACAATTTAGGCAAAATTAAAATTCTCATATACAAAGAGATGATAATATCAGTGGCAAAAGTATTCTTATTTTTAATTTTTAAATTAGGTAAGAATCCAATCTCCCAGTTTTTTATAAAAGCATGCCTTAAATGGTTTTCTCTTCAACTGTAAAATAGTTCTCCTTATGTACTTCTATTAACGCTTGTTCAAGATATATATATACAGGGTAAGGCAATTGAAAGTGGCCCGGAGTTCCAGGTTACAAGGAAACACAGCAAAGGAAATGCAGTATTAACCTAACTATAGCAGATGTTGAAATTGACCACGATTCATCCCTTGGCATTTTTGGACTCTGTTCAGCAAGTTACTGAAGGCAGATCGAAGTTGGACTTCAGGAATTGCTGCAATCTCATCCGAAACGGTCTGCTGCAGTTCTTGAAGATTCTGAAGATTGTTGCAATGCACTTTAGACTTGAGGGGTCCCCACAAAAAGTAATCGCACACTGACAGACCAGGTGACCTTGGTGGTCAGAAAGGGCCGAGACCAAACGGACTTGTGCTAACAACTTTGTCAGGCGTGAAAAGTGTGTAAATGTGATCCAGGTGCGGCCGGCTGTATGAGAAGTTGCTCCATCCTGTTGGAAGTAACTATAGGTCTTTCTCTCCTCCGTTAATGTTGCCACAAATGATTAAAAATAGTGGAAATGCAACACTCCGAATTCAGCGTCTGATGAAAGAAGATGGAACTAATAATGCGGTGTCCAGACACTGCACACCAGACCCCAATCTTCTGATGGTGTTTGGTGGAAGGTATGCGGATTCTCCACTGCCCACAACCTGTGATTCTGTGAGTTGACACTTAGGTGAAACCAGGCGTCGTCAGAAATAAAGAAAAGATCCATATCGAAGGCATTCATTGTTATCTCAGGGACCGCCACTCACAAAAGTGGAGGCGCTGAGAAATATCTGGCTGGTTTTAATGCATGAGCAACGCACAATCTGTAGGAATGCTTTTTCAGGTGAAGTATTCGTCCGCATGATCAACGTGAAATGTCGGTCTCTTTCGACAGGCGTTGGGTTGATTTGGTTGGACTCTGAAGCGTTTACTACTAAATTGTAGTCACATTTCCTGGTGTTCGGAGACGTTTCGGAATGTTTTTTGACTTGTTCAAAACAGATCCCGTCTGACGCCAATTTCAGACTAATAGCTGCCTGGCACTTTGAGACCATTAAACATATGTGCAAACAACTGACCACATTGTTTACACGACTTAAAATGCAACTTTCCACAACGAACACCCTGTTCTGCACTGTATCATCTTCACCTTTGCACTGCTCAATTCACATTGACACAGTCCACATTAAGCTCTGAACTAGTCTGGATATCATGATGTGTGTGCATGTGATGTGCGCGTCACGTTGTATGGTTATATGCATACATTCACGTCCAATCGCATCCACTCGTTCGGGCTACTTTTGTATACTTTCCTTTGATATGTTTCTTTATAACTTGGAATTCTGTTTTCCGGGCCGCTTTTATTTGATTCACCCTATATAATGTTGTTTGAAATTTAACATTTAAAATAGAAAAAAAAAAGTGAGACATCATGTTTATCTGTTCTCCTTAATTTAGAAAATGTTGAAAATAGTACATCTACAGTGTAGTGGAATTTTAAGTTATATAAAAGAAAGCTCACATAAAGGATAAAAAAATTTCTGCGCAAATTAAAATTATTTTTAATAAATTGAATGTGAGGGAGAACTTTTTACATGAGACCAATGAAAAAATTAATAACTTTCAGACTAACTGAATTATACAAATGAGAAAGACAGAGACAGAATATGTGAAAAACTCTGTAATCCAAGAAAGATTACGCATAAAAATATCAAAGACAAATATTTCAATCAAAGAAATCACAAATTAAAGTGGTATTTCAACTGAAATTACTCTTCTGCTCGCTAATATGAAGAGTGGTTCGTTAGTTGACATATCATGACAAAGCATGTGAGCGCTGTCTGTCCGATGTAGAAGATTCATGAAGGACGATTGTAGTCATAGAGGATTCATGCCTTATAAGTGTTTAATGGTCTCTAGGGATGGCTTATAAGTGTTTAATGTTCGAATTAAACGTAGTACAAGCACAAAAATCTATTCAATCAAGTTCGCTCAAGATGAAGATGACACGAGAGAAACTATCGGTGTTCATCATTCGTACCACTAAGCCACTAATGGGCTTCTGTGAATAATGTCTATTAATAAATAAGGGCATGTCTTTAAAACTACATATACGTGTTTCGATAGATTGGCTGACGTTTCCAGGGAGTTCAGTTAGTTGAAATAATAATACAATAGAATCTTTTTTTTCCTGAAGAAATTTGCTTGGCGATATACAAAACAGAAAAATGACAAGGAATTTCAGAACTGAAAACTTCAATTTGAAAATCAGATTTAAATCTAAAATCTAGTAAATGAAAACCAGTTGAGTTTTATTGCAGTATTCAATATTTAATTTGACAAAAAATCCCTTACTGAGACAAAAGGCAAAACGTAACATTATGAATTTCTCGAACTCCCTAGCTGTAATAAAAGACATTTTATTGAAAAATTGAATACTTTTATTTGAATTTCTTTATGGAACATTTACATTATTTCGGTTAAAATTATGTGGAATAGAGTTTTAATTAATACGCAATTAAAAACGTTTTATGATAAACCACTGAAATTTTGTAATATGCGTTTTAATTTTTTATTATAAAAACGCATTACATATGGTAAATTTCAGCTATTTTTGATAAAAGTAATTCCCTGATATATAATACATAAATGCAAAACAAAAAGAAATTACTCATTACTTAATATATGATTAAATACATAATATAAAAAATTAACTGGAGAGCTAGAGTCGTTTAATATTTCATTGCGAAATTAGCACTCGATTGCTCATTTTGCTATCTTTTAAAATAGAAAACTATGAAATACCTGTAATTACATCTGAAATTACTGGCAACAATGGTATGTAATGTACAGAACAATGTTAATTTACTAAAATTTACTAAAAAATATACCCCGAAAAAAGCTGTGTCTTAACAACAGCTTATACTTTTACATTTACCAAAATACAGCTATTCGTCATTAAATACATACGCACGCATCTTCGCATCATTAAGGATAAATCTTGTTAAATTATTCCAGTTTTGGATGTTCACTGTTCACGATAGCGCAAATTTTACCTATTAATTGATTTATTTTCTTTTCTGTTAGATGTATAATTGATATTTATTATACAGAATTAAATAGCAGCTCCAGTAAAATTTTATTTAGTCGATATTTATTCCGCTGCATATATACGATATATCTTAAATAACACTATTTTAAATTTATTAATCAAAGCAAATGAAAAAGGGTAGCATTTCACGTATACAGGTACCTATGGTGTTCCTGAACTGTCTATTGATAATTACGAGGTTTACTATTCCCAAATATTTCGATATATTAATTAATGAGTATATTTAATACATATTATTAAAACTTGGGTAACATACTTAACGACTGCAAAACTTCCCCTTTTTTATGCAACAAAATATTCGTTATTTATTATTTATAAATATAGTGTCAAGAGGATATTAACAACGATTTATACTATTAAGAACTGTAGAAATATACATAGAATAGCATAAAAATGTGCTAATATATTGCACAATTACGTAAGTATATAGTTACGTAAAATATCTAACATTAACCATTTAGAAATTACACTTATTAAAACTTAATAATACGTATAAAAAGGTTAGAGCATTTTACATATCATTTTTAAAACAAAATTTTTGAAAATAAACACTTACCATTGCCTTCAGCAAAATATGGAGTAACTGTCGCAGAAAATGTTATCAAAATCTTGAATACAGCATTCGTAAATCTTCGGGTTGGTTTCATAATGCGAAACTGAGGGTCAGATAGGGAAGAATTATCACTGAAGTATACCCAGCTATTGATAATACATAATTCTGTAATACGATACACATGAAAACAAGTATGTAATCACGCAAAGGATCTTACAGGGTATGCTGCATAAATGGCGATGCACTACAATGTTTCACACAAAGTGTCGAACAGCCGATTAATCCGCGTACAACTAGCGCCACATTTAGGCCAAAATAAGAAGTATTTTTTGTATAAAAAGTTTTTTTTGACAAAGATAAAGTTCTTAAGAACTATCTAATGCTGATAATTCAACACAAAACATAAATCTGATTTCATAACGCATAGCAAACACAAGTGAACTTCTTAAATGTATCACACTTAAGATAAGTTAATCACACGAACAAATACCGCATTTCGAATAAGTATTATACAATGAATTTATCACACTGGGAAAAATTGCTAAGTTTTGTGTAAAGTGAAGGTAATGTATGTAATACAATAAACACACAAAAATTATGTATTTTTAACTATTCTTGTTACTGAACAGAATATTTTTAGCATATATTAAAAATACTTGATTTCAATATTTATGTACTGGATAAATAACGTATTATATACATAAGAAATTAAAATCATTTTATTATAATATTAATTGAGGTTCATTAATATGAAAGCTTTATAATAAATTTCACTATTGACTATTAGGTATCAGACAACAACAAGCTCACCAATTACAGTTAAGGAAACTTTTTTATTTAATTCATTTCCCACTCCATTTCTGGCATAACATATATAAGTTCCACCGTCTTCACTCTGGACGTCTGATATGATAAAATCTCCTTTTCCTTGTATTTCATGTCGACTGTATAATTTTAAGCTACTTTCCTGTCCATCTAAAAAAGAACATATTTTATTACATATTTACTATAAAAGGAATTTCGTATTTGCCACATATATTAAATGTTTTGTGGAGAGAATAACTTCTTATTGATTTTTATACAAATATTACATAATTCACAAATAAAAATTTCAATTTAAGTTGTAGAGTCATTAGGTTATTTTGAAGCAGAAGACGTGAAAAATCTACAATGCCTACCCAAGTCGAAGTCGAATCGCGGACCTCTCGAATTCGCGTCGAGTATGCTTCCAATTAAATCACAAAAGCATGTGGAAAGGAGGGAGAAAATACCTTATAAAATAAATCTTAAAACATCAGAAAAGGCAAGTAAATTACATTACCAACTGTAAAAGAGTAACAACGAAATACTTGTAACTAAAGAGAAAGAAATTAAATGTCGCTATATCACACATATGTGACAAAAATCATACAATAGTTTATCATCAGAAAACAAAAACATAAAAAATAAGATCATGCTATCTATAAAATGCGAATACAGGTTCGATAGTTTTATATTCACCGCTTTATAGATCGAAGTATGCATGCATATATACAGAAGAAAGCATTTACAGAAGTCGTACACTATCACTAGTTATGTTGCTAGTCGTAAGATCCTTAAATTTTAAACCACAAGCAAGTACTGTCTTTTTACTGAAGCCATTCACTTCGCCTCTCAGTAATCAAACTCCTTTATGCAACCACCCAAATAACATGTAACTCAACTTATCACATTTCTCTTCCGAGATGTATTTTATTGCTTATAACAAAACCATTTATTTTTTAATTTCTGTTCACTAAATAGCAGTCTAAAAGATTGAGATAATACCCTAAGGTGAATTCTCTTACCCCACTCTCTTTCCACACGCAATCTAGTGAGTTTTCTAAGCAGCAGCAATTCTTAGAGAAGGACTGTGTTTTAATAAATGGCATCTAGCTTTCTTTCTCAAAGTATTGAGTATTCTTGGAATTGCCGAGTTTCAGGATTTCGAATTGTTTTCTCTTCTTTGGCTTAAATATTGCTACTTAAATCAATTTAAAAATATGAATATGAGTTGCACCATGGCAAAGTTTAATCACGGTTTCAGAATTTTTTATTTCTAATTCTGTATGTAAATCGATTTTTTTCTCACGTTTTTGATGAAATAGAAGGTACAATATAAAGAACTTTAAGATAAAATATAAAGATCAAGTTGTAAGGATTTTAAATTTTACTAATGTTAATTTTATTTTAAAACTTTACTGTCCCCTCTTATTTTCCACTTCCGGCGAAAATAAACGGGGTTAATTTTAGTTATGCAAATTGAGCTTGCAAACTGTTAAGTATTTAAATTGTGGTTTTTAGCCAAGAAGGAGTTAGAGAGAGAGACTTCTTGCCACCTTACTTCACGCGCGCTTTTCAGTCAGTTGCTATCCGCTTTTAAGGCCAGAAGTTTACTCCTCTTGATACTGAAAATGCTTTAATTTAGTTTTCCCGCATTCTGGGTACTATATACGTAAAGGTTAAAAGGTCAATCTTAGCCTTACTAGTCCGTAACGTATTTGAGTTTAAGCTCTTATTTAAATTTAGTTAGTTTGTAGTTCTTATCTTTACGCTTCAGACCATACGTACTGGTCTTTGTATCCCGAAGTGCGGGAGCAGCTGTAAACTGTGAAGAATAAATGGTAGTTAAACCTTTCTCACTTGTGTTGTATCTTCTATACCTTTAGGAACATAGTTTTGAGTAAAGTCCCTGTTCTTACTCAGGACTCTAGGTATGTCTGCAAAGGCAATCAGAAGAAACATTAGTCCTGATAATGTGAGTAAATAAACTATACCTTTCTTCTGCTACATTAAATTCGGATTCAATGGAAGATCAATTGAATTTTTAACTTTGCTTTAAAACTCAGATGCTTGGTATATCATATATTTAATTAAATCTGAGAGTGAAGTACCATCGAGGCTTCAACATACATGTTCGGAGTTTTAATACGCAATCATGCACATTTTTATCACAGAGAAAATCTTACTATAAAATAAATATTTTTCTAATATTTGAACCTTCTTTACTAAGAATTAATAAACGAGAAGCAAAAGGGTTAGTTTATTTTCGAATGATTTCAGTGTTGTATTTATTTACTAATGCAATGTTAAAATCATTTACTTCTTTATTTCTCTTCTTTCGACAGCAAAACTGAGAAAGTTGCAACCCGTTTTTGAAATTATCTGTTTATATCAACTTTAAGCTTTGATATTTAGATATATAAAACTATGAAAGACGAATATGGAGGACAGATATTCAATTTCGTGCGCAAGAAAATTATTCGATTTATATAAAATATGCTTGAATTGCAATGAAAAGTAAACTTAAGTTAATCTGTAAGCTCTCAATGCATGAATTTAAACATTAGAAAAATGTTTACAATTTTTTCTGTTGCCATGCATCGCATTATGGTTCTTTGTTTGTTTTTCTAAAGAGAAAACGAAATTGCGATTGCATTACCTAACGATGACAAAATACGCGAGAGATACTAGCTTAAGAGATTGAACTACTTTATGGTAGCATTTCTGAATGAAATCAGTTAACGTTTGCTTCACGCATGTAAAAACAGCAAAATTGGATGCATCCAGTCCACTTATTCCCTCCCCTCCCCCAACAAGGAAACCTCAAAGAACCACTAGTGTTATACTAAGTTGCGTATAAAGGAAGACGAAGAAGATTTCTATACTTAATTGTACCCAAATAATGATATAAATGTTTTAATTAAGTATTGTAATCAAATGTTTATGAAATTACCATGAATTTAATTTACCTGATAATCTGGTCCATTGTATAACAGGGGGTGGAAAACCACGTGCACTGCAAAAAAATGTAACCTTTTCACCAAGTCTGACTTCTCGGTCAATAGGTTCAACAATCCATTGAACCGGTGCTGAAATAAATATGAATTTATTATAAATTCTGCTATAAAGAATTTATTTAACAAGTTACAAAATATATTTATCAGGAAGAACTATTTTAAGAAATTTTTTATCCCTCCTTAAAGAGTCAGAATCAATATATGTTATCAATTACTACTCCTGATATAAGTAAAAGATATTACGGAATTATTTTCGGAGATCTTTAGTCTACCGACACTGATCTTTTTCTATAGCTGAGAAAAGTTTGTAAATAAATACTTATTATGGTGAGCAGAATCTGTCCTAAGACATAATAATATTTATTTTAATCCTATAATTGTAGCCTTTTTCATAAAAACATTTTAACTTTAATTCTGAAAAGATTTCCATTTTATTTCAAGCTCTTTCACATTTTAAATCTAGATTAATAAAGGATGTAGGAATTATGTTATAATTAATTTATTATATATATTTTACTTAAAACTCATGAGGCATTGATACATTGAAAAATTCATTTTAAAGCATTTATTCCACTTTCACTACTTACATCTTAGAGTATTTAATATTTCTGAAAGCCAAAGTAAGAACTGTACTTTATATTAATTATTTATGCACATAGGAAAGGATAGGTTTCGTAGATAAACCAATTACGCATCAAAAAATAATGTACTGTTCTTTAAATGTACACCTACCGTCAGGAAAGAGTATTGGTGTATGCCAATATTTTTACCTCATCAATTTTTGTTGCTGTCTTCTATTTAAAGTATACAAAGGTCAACTAATTTTATTAAATGGCTCTAAAATTCAAATAATATATCAAACTGGAAAAGCAGAGTTCCAGCTATTCTTGTATTGGATGATGTCTACAGAAATTGACATTTCGATTACTATAAAACCTACTGTATGGGAATTACTTGTTCCTTTCTTATTATTCGGAATTCTTTTTTTTTATTAGGTATTGAGTGAAGATGTATACTTTGAACATTATGTTACATAAATTCGAAGACTATAAGAAATATTTTTCAACTTTGTTACGTCTAAAGATCTTTTCTCAGATTACAAATATGTTGCAAGTGACTGCTTTTATTTAACTTAGTAATGCAATATAAATACTTGATTGTTTATGTTCGAGGCTTACGAATATACTATAGTTATACAAGCTAGATACAACTCAATGATAAGAATTATAAAATATTCAGTAGGAAAATTTCGCTTTTAGATTTTTATAGACTTTATATTTGTTAGACTTTATTTGCATTTTCAAGCCCTTTATTGTAGCGAAATATCCTTGAATTCTATGCTATCTCTATAGGCCAAATTTTCTACTCTCATATTTGCAACTAGTGATTAATAATTATTCTACAACTATCATTATTAGAATATTGACAGAAACGTATATATCCCCGCTAAACTGGTAAACAGATAATAAATAACAAGGAAAACATATACACTTATAAAAATTTTATAATTATTAAACTGTTTATTCGTATAGTAGAAGAAAGTTTTGGGGAAAAACTTAGAATATTTATATCCTAAAAACGTAATCTTATACCAGAATAGTAGAAAAAACGAAGTAATCTTATACTTAAAAATATAATATTGAATTTCTCGTGTCTGTATGTTTAAGTAATAACTAGTGCAATATTTCTTCAGATAGTCAAAAATAATTAGAAAAAAATTCAGTATTTCATGATTATCATGCAAATATAAGTTTTACTTCTTCCCGGTTTGGAAGTTTCCATTTTACGATTTAAAATTACAGTTTTAGTTTAGCTATATCTCATTAATATATAACATATTTTCTAAAAGCAACCATTGAGGAACTTGTGAGTTTTTAAAAATTTGACATAAACATTAAATTTTCTGTTCAGAATATAGAATGCAGAAATAATTGGATATTAACGAAGTTAAAAATTCTAATTAGAATTTCATTTTCTATTTTTGTGATGATGATATTGAAAGGCCCTGATACTCGCCTTATATATAATAGCAAAATATACTCTAGCAGTCCGAGAATACTTTTTAAGATTAAAAAAAGATGGCTCAAAATTTCTCAGTCACCTGTATGTCACCTGAAATTCAAAATGAGTTCATTGTAATTTTACACTGATTTCCATTTTCTCTAAATGAGAGTGTGTATTAGGATTTTAAACCATATTCTCATATTTTATGATCAACCTGAATATTTTTCGTTGACTGTGTGGGTTCTTGTCAAACATTTACTATGTTTAAATAAGAATAGTTGGCAGTTATATATGTTTATAAACAAATGTCTAGAAGAATTTTTAAAATATGTATTAATATTTCACATTTTATTATATATTTGCAATTTTTAATTACCTTACTTGAAGACAATATTAGTACTTTTACAATGAGAATTATAATTTTTTATCACACCGCATGCATTCAATATAACAACTAATGTGTACATGAATGAAAAGCATACTTTCATACTAACTAAGAAGAAAATTTTTCTAGTCAGAAATTATCATATTCCTCCAATCCAGGTTTTAGAATTTACGAGTATTTCAGTTGAATGGGAGTTTATTCTTGATTATATGCCCTTAAAATTAAAAATATTTTTCAGCTTTGTTTCTGTTAAAAGCAAAAAGATAATTCATTTACTTACCTTCAACTAATAAGAGAGCTGTGTAATTTAGTACGGTGTTTGCATTTTCAGCCACACAAGTATAATTTCCTGAATCTTGAGAAGAAACTGCTTTTATTTTTAACAGGGAGAAATCTGCGTGTTTGGCTATTTCAACTCTATTTTGTTTCATGACTGGAACACCATTTTTATACCATTTGAAAGTGAAAGACTTGTCTTCAGTTGTCACAGCACAAATGACTTTGGTTGATTCTCCTTCACGAATTTTTGGAGGAAAAATGAATGGTTGAATTTTATCTGCATTACCTAAAATATAATATTATAAAACACATTACAAAATGTCCTGTTTTACACTAAAATCACTAAAATATTCACTAACTTTAGTTTTAAGAGGATTAGATTATCTATTAATAATTAAAGCATATTGAAAACTTACATTGCATAAAAGTTCTAAAATTTTTGATACAAAAGTCTTGTTAGATTCTAAAGAAAAATATGCTTAGTGTAATTAACATTTCCCTGAGGTAAAATTTATATTGTACTAAGAAATCATTTTAGGATATAGAGAAACCTCAGTCCACAGAAATACAGAAAGTCCAGAAAAATATTTAAATATTTAATATAAATACAAAATACATGTAAAATATTACTTACCAGCAGTGTTCTGAGTTAATGAACCGTATATCATAAAAGGTATGATGAACGGCCATGAAAGCAGTTTCATGTGAAGTCCATTCATTTTCGATGCATGCAAGCATCACGGCATGCAGTTTCGTATTTTTTACTGACACGTTACTTTTCAAGCATAAAACACTAGTATGGAACAGAAATAAGAAACAGAATATTATTTTGAGGTTAACATTCAGTACAGACTCTGCACGTTTAAGCACTCAGCTTACAATGGCGATTATGAAAACTTGATTTGAAGCAATACTGTACAACTAGCGCCACATACAGGAATAAAAAGGAAATGTTCTTTCAAAAATAATCATGTAAATGCAATACAAGTATGTTTGATTAAGAAATGCATGATGAAAATATACTAGATAAAAGCAAAAACAAATTTATGTTAACATATGAACACTTGAATAAAATATTTTCAAGAAACAAATCTTATGGTGTAAGTAAGAGAAAAATAAAAACACATGTGGGTATGAATTGCTTATTATTTAATTACTCTACCATGAACTACAATTTGAAAAACGCTCTTCAGTGGAGCTCCAACACCATTATTTGCTTCACAAATATATTTTCCATCGTGAACTTTAAGTACAGGTTGCAGGATTAGCGATCCAACTGAATAAGAATTTCTAGTTGTTTTTTCCTCATTCAATAAGTCCTTTGCATTTTCATCTAAAAAATATAGGTAATATAATAATAAAAATCTAAAATTTACACGAATACAAAGAAATGCAGTTTCAGAGCAAAGTAAATGTGATGCAATAATACTGACGTCCAGATATGTTGCTTATTATGGACTACTATAAAATCTGACGTTCACATCTTGATAGAGAAAGGAAAACTTCTAACTTCAGTTAACTGTTATTAATTTTATCTTAAAAATTATCATAGAAATTTTCAGCTGTTTGAGTTTACTGAGTTTTCGTTTGAGGGCTTAATTCAACTGCCAGCAAAAAAAATTCAGTTTATTTTTTAATTTGATACTGTGTTTTGAATCAGCATTCTCTTAAAAGAAAGGGTTTCAATTTCTATTTTTGAATATGTATAGAATGTTGTAAAATCTGCAATAAATACACAGATAAAAAGTCTGTAAAAATTTCCGCAAATTACTTAGTATTAGTTTACCTAATAGTATCAATTAATGTAGACGAAAATAATCGGATACTATAAATTCAAAACATTACACTACGAGCTGCATATAATTTAATTTTGTGTATTTTAGTTCTGTTTTAAATTTTAAAATAGGATTTGCACTTTACGCGCTTACTGTTCCTTTTAAGCATGAAAATTACCTATCAGTGTTGAAATGTTATTCCATTTCTGATTCTAAACAAAGATTCCATACTTGTGAACACGGTTTTAAAAGTTTGGTTAAAAATGTAAACGCTTAGACTGTTATTTCAAGGATCACGTGCAAAAATAAAATACTAATATTTCAAGGTATTTCAAAATTTTGAGAATATTTAAATTTAGAAAAATTTAAAAATATATTTAGATAATTCTAGATTTATTTGAAGTTTTGTTCTTTAAAATAATAGTATTCTTGCAACGTGTTACAGCATAAATATTTCTAAATAGAAGCTGTAAAGCCTTATTTATCAATATTTCAGTTCATAGGACTTTTTTCGAATTCCTTATAAATTAAATGGATAAAAATAATACTACCGGATAAACTTGATATCAATACTAAATGCCATAGAGCATTTTTTTAAATAAGAGTATGCAAGAGAAGAGCCGAAATCGCAATATTTCTGTAACGGCCTTTTGGTATACAACTGCATTTACTAATTAAATTTAAATTGACTGTGGTCATGATAGGTGGCGTGCTGTCACCTGTAGGGTAGTCAAGGCTCTTGCCAACGACAGGCGCAATCTCGCTCTTCTTGCCATGATGAATTTTGTGGGCCTTTTTTGATGTTATTGTCAGACTAGTGAGATAAGTCACAACAACAAAAAATTGGATAAATTGATTTAAATATTTAAAATTCATATTGTTACATCCCTAATTACATATTACATTTATTGGCCTAGAAGTTTAGGCCTCATGATTTATTGTTTTTTCTAAGTCACGAAAATCAGGAAAAATAATTTAAAAAATACTTCTAGAATTTTATAAACTTCCATCTCTTTGTTAGATGTCTTTACTGCTGTTTATGTATTGCTACATGTAGCCGAATCCACGTATCTGTATTTCAGGCTGCTCACATAACAATATAATATAAATTCTTTATCGAAATTCTTTTACCGTATCACAAGATAAGAAGATGCAAATATTCTGAGATGAATAATAAAGAAATATTATTTAAAATTATTTAAAATTCATAACAAAATTTTTCAAAAATATTCCGCAAGCTTCCAGTTTAGAAGAATTCATATTGAAACAGCAATTTTATAAATTCATATTTCTGGCTAGGCAGCTACAACATCGCCTAAAATAGTTAGGTTCGAACGTTATATTTTTATTTTGTTGATCGCTAATTATTTAGTATTTTAATATTTCAACACTAGATTTGCAATCATTCTTATACAACATAAAAGTTATTGATAATTCATAAATTTCTAGAGATTTTTGCAGAATTCTTATGATTTCTGTTATCCGTATACTTTTGGTATGGACTTTCGGTACTCTGGTAAAGGTAAAACCAGACTTAAACATACGTCTTACGTCTACTTAAACAGAAATCAAGCATTACTTCAACTCTTTTTAAAAAACAAGTAAAACAAACTCTGAAAATAAAAGAATGAAGGTACGGATCTATCCATTCCGCTATTAGAATATCCTACTATTAATAGAAAGGGTATACTAAGTTGATGAAAATAATCTATCAAAAGTCTTCTGTAAATGTGGTAAAATGTTTACATCTAGTCACGAGCACTGCAAGATCTTTGATATATTATTTTGTATGAGTAGTCAGAACATAAGTATTCATCTTTTAGCATTAGCAAGAGCAGCCATCATTCGAACGATTAATGAAAGAATTTAGGAAAATATTAAAAAGAAAAGCATGAAAAGTCCTTTTTCATATTAAAATGCAATTTGTAGCATTACATCGTAATTTTAGTTTCTTAACATCTGCAAGTTTTATGTGTTTACATATTTTATACGGTCTAGCAAAACGGAATTTTTTCAAAACACATTTTGGAAATTTAGTTTTAACTGTATCTAAATGTGACAGGGTATATGGTCTCATCACAATAAGATCAGTTTCGCCAAACAAAATTAACGGAGTCTGACTAAAGACTGTAGGTATCACAGTTGATCATGATTAAAACTCTTGACTGCAGAGAGGAGGACTAAGCTTTTATTTCACAAAGTGAGCTTGCGATTTTCACATATGATGCATTAGTTCGGTCAGTCTAGCAGTTTAAACTATTACATTTATTTGATTTTCCCTTCCTATATTATATGCTTTTCAAATATTAATTTCAAATATTAAATAATTCATTTGCGTTACCCTGAATTTGAAACAAACTGAAAAAAAGTGATAGAAACTGCTATCTGTCGAATGAAATAACAGAAATTACCTTCTCTTCTAATTGATATAGTGGGAGCTGGATATCCGCTAGCTGAACATGTTATATTAATTCTTTGCCCTTCTATAACTTCTGAATTTTCTGCTTCGGTTATCCATTGAGGTGGCGCTAAAAATATTATTAAATTACTAACAGACAAAGTAATCTAAATTCACATTGTCTTTTAACCATGTAGTTTATACAGAAAGTGAACACACATATTTTTGAAGTATATTTATATAATATGAAACTAATCATTCTAAACTTTTATAAATACGTGAAAATAAAATTTTCAAAATTTAAACCGTATTGAAAACTCAGCTTACTTCAGTCAATATTTTATATGAAGTAGCTTGTAAACGGAATTTTGATTAATTCCTACTTTCATAATTTAATATCTTAGTAACAACATATAGGTGCGATTGTTGTTCAAAGAAGATTTCAAAAATTAAATAATTCTTCTAGCATTTGAAATCAGAAATATTTACAATAATGAAAACGATTAAAATAATTCGGTTAATTTAGGTTAAAAGTTAAAGAGAAAAAGTATAATATCAAATAAGTAAGAAACAAGGAAAAGGTTTTATATATCTATGTATTAAAATAAGGCTTAAAAAGGTAAAATAAGAATATCGTTCATATATATTTCTTTAGTAAACGTTTTAAGTGATGATATGCAAAATATTTTTAGGAATATGTCGTTTAATTAAGCATTTGTATAACAGGCAGTAATTAAATTAAATTAATTAATTGTAGTTTGTAAATACACATTAAAATACCGGATCTTTTATGTTATGCTTATGAAGACTATTCCGAATATATAAAACAAGCCATATACGTAGTTATTTATTTTAAGAAACCTGATTATGTTATAGCTATTTAAGCATCTATTTCATAACATATTTCTTTTTCTGTTAGTAAAACAATACGTAAAATTTAGAAACAAAAGTCAAATGCATCTAAATGAACTAATAAAGTTAAAAAATTAATATTACCTCGTACGAAGAGAAATGCGGAATAGTTGTCGTGACTAGCAGAACTCTTGGCAACACAGGTATAGTTACCAATTGAAGTTTCTTCCACTGAGTTAATTACAAGTGTTGAAAAAATATCGCTAGAGTCAATATTTACATTCCCGTAGCTTTTTAAGGGGTGGTTATCTTTATACCATTCGTAAGAAACAGTTGACTCTCCTCTCATAATCATACATATAACACTGGCTTTATCTCCCAGCTGTACATTTTGAGGAAATTGGAAAGGTTGTATCCTTGGTACTTCTAGACAGAAAAAAAAAAACTGAGAAAGATTTTATAAACGATTAATCATTTATAAATTGATACTAAAATATTATTTATATATATGTATGAATACCTAAATTGCTGAGCTTCTTTTTTGTTTGAGAATTTATTGCTGTACACTTAGAAGCATTTAATGCTAAATAAATGGGCTAGAATTTTTATAGATGTTTTGAGCTTACAAAGTAAAGTTGAGCATTACATTTTTATACATAACTTTAAAAAATTAAATATAAGAAGGTTACCTTTATTTTTTTATATTTATAACGACTTTTACTGAATATACCACAATAATTTCTATGCCACACACGTCTTTAAGCATTTTACGGGAGTTTTCTGAGGGTCTTTTATACAGGAAACTTTTGAAGTAATCTTCTTAAACATTATTAAGCAAATATTTGCATGGACTATATGTTATTAATGCTCAGACTGAGAACAAAATTCCTTCTTATTGTGCAAGAAATACTGTAACACTGTAAGTTGCATAAATTATGTAGCATAAATCTTTCCAACTAAAAAAAAATCACACAGAAATTTTAAATTTTGAACTTACCTGAAGATAATGCTGAACCAAAGCGAAACGTTAGCAGCAAAGTTGAAACAATCTCAAAGGTATAAAACTGCCGAAAAAGATTATTCATATTTTATGTTTACTGAACAACCGGCAATATACAGAGTAACAATCAATTAATATTATTCATATTAATCAAAACAGGAGCAATAATATGGTGCACTTATGCCTTCTGAAACCGCTACAGAACTCTGAAATAAATAACAGTTATACTTTTAAGAGCAACTTTTGTGTGTTGATCATCATTGCTATGATGGCGTTTTAAGAATAGTTTTATACGCGAACAACTAGCGCCACACAATGGAGAAAAAATGAGTGAAATCACACATGTAGAAATCTTGATATACTTTAAATAAACGTAAATTAGATAGCTGCCTAAGATACTCTTATACATTATAATATTAAATGTTAAATTTACATTTCCAATTTAAATAAGTTACTTGGATGGTATGACCCAAGCACAATAACTAGTACGCACAAAACTATGTGTATAAATTAATAAGTAGGTGTTAAGCTTTCATTTCTTCCATGTTTCGGGCATAAATTTAAGAATATATTCTGGAAGATAATAAGCATTAGAAAAGGTGTATCTACTACTTGTGGTTCGCATATACTATATTAGTATAGAACATTTAATGACGTTCATACAACATAGGATTCAAATGCCAAAATATTATTCTGTCATTTCAGGTATGTCACAGTACAGAATGATAGTTTAAAAAGTTCATATACGTCAAATTATATTTAAAAAATATAATTCGGTTTTTTGACTTTTCCAGAATGTTTAATTTTCTCATTCTTTGAAATGTTTTGTATATGAAAACACTAATGCAGAACAACCATAACGAAAACGTATCATAAAAATTATCCAAAGTTTGGCCCAAGGTTTTCAAAATTAAATGCCTTCCTCAAGCGCATTACCAAAAAGGTTCATACATATATAGCATTTAAAATATAAAAATGTTTCATTTTTGAAGGCATAATTAAAAATAAATTAATTGTTTTTAAGGTAATAATATATTTGAAATTCAGTACAGCATGAAAACAAAAATACAATTTTCAATGCATTAGGCCACCAAGCGATGCTCCAAACTTCGCTCAACATCAGAACAAATAGTCAACGTTTTTCATTTTACGGCATTAAAAACAAAAATATATTTTATGCATTTCGACAGAAAAAGTAGGATAATTAATCACTGGCAAATTTGCTAGTAGTTTGATGTAACGTAAAGAGTTTTTATGCTTAAAACTTTTTATTCTTCTTAATGCGAGCTTAATAATCGAAAATATCGTCCATCTTTGAAATATGATATTATGTTAGTTCTTCAAAGAAATTGCAGACAATTTTTAACAATGAAAGTTGTTTATTCTACATATAGATGATATGTAAAAAAATTAGCCAATCTTTCCTCAATAGGAAATATTCATTCATACATGCGCTTGACATTTAGCGGGACCACTCCCAAACCATAGATCCACATTTTGTGTTTTATATACATGCATTTTCTTTGTTATTTTGCGACACCTACGTTAATAGAGACAGGTGCACCAAGTATGACATTAATGTATAAGAATTATAACATAGAAGAATGGAACTGGAACTAGTTTCATGTTGAGGATAATCATACATAATTGTAGATAGAACTGTTCGCTATTAAAATACTTCTACAACATTTTATTGATGCACTGAAAAATATTAGTGTACTCAAAACAAAGTGTTACACAATTTGAATTACATTACCTTATAAATCTACGTGCATGTATAAAGATATAATTAATCCTATATTTTTTCATTGTTACTATAAATTCAACCAGAGCTACACTTACTTTCGGTCAGCTTTAGAGCCATTTTTTTCACAAACTCATTTAAGGAAATAAATTTAATTTAATAACAAAGAATTTATGAAATTGAATTTAAATACAATATCAAATATGAAAGTCATACACTTTACGTAAAGTTAGCACTTTTAAGAGCCATTAAAATCGATGTATGCGAAAATATTCCTACCATGAACAGTGATGGAAAATGTTTTCCTTAAAGGTTCTCCAGCTCCATTATCTACTTCACAGAGGTACTTGCCTTCATATTCTTTAAGCGTCGGATTAAAAGTGAGCGTACCATTTATCGAAGTTCTTAAGATGTTATAATTAGCACCATTAGAGTTGGTTATTCCTGAGAAAGAAAGTATTTGAGTGTAAAGAAGCGTTCCGAATTCTCCTTAACTAGTTATGAGAATGTTATTTAATAAAATTTTAAATTCTGCTGAAATCAAAATTGAATTTAAATAAAATTATACTTCAAAATAAATCTGATTAAAGTTTTGATTCCACAATATTTTACAACAGATTTTTTGTAGTTTATAATAACTGCTATCAGTAAATAAAATTTTAATTAAAAGCGTGACATGTATACCAAAACAATTAACACAAAATTTAGTATTAACATAGAATGCTATTTATTTACTTCAAAAATATACTTATTTGAACAAAAAATGTGAGAACTATTTCACTTAATTTGCACAATTAACATCAGTTACATTTCTTAATTAATGAGATTTAAATTAGATTAAAATGACTAAAAGTTATCAACTCATTTCCATCAAAATTAAATGATTTCCTAAAGTGGTAAAATGCCTTTTATTTTTCTGTACAATCAGAAGTATACACAGATTAAATTGGTATTTTTTTGCCGTTGTAGGAGAACACGCGGCAAATAACTTTCTCTAGAACAATACATGCCAGTTTGATACTTCTAGCAAGTATTCTACATATTTCCGTCATTATCTGATTACAACTGTTGTAAAAAACTTTTAGACATAAAAAGTATATCTGTTACGTTAATTATTTCGACAAGCAAAGAAACGAAATAGAATGAAGGTACTTTAAAAAGGTTTTTTAAGAACATTTTCTTTGAAATAAGAACGCTCTTATAAGAGGTAAAAACTACTCATTTCAGTTAACAGCGAGACTAAAAGGCAATGTTGTCAACTTTATTTTGCCTCAGAAATTTATTTGGCGAGTGTTATTATACAATGGAAAAGATCCAAAATTTTAATTGCATTTTTCAACGACATCTTTATTATATTTCTTAGAAAATTATGCACCAAATTAATTTAAATAATAGTTAAACAATATTCTAAGAATAAAAAGGATTTCGCAATGAAATATAGCCTTAGGGCACTGAGAAAAAACTCTCAAAAGCTTGGAAAATGTGTAACTTCTAAATTGGCTAATAACTGATTGGCCGTTTGTTTGCTTTTATTACACATTGTAAACAATTTTACATTGAGTCAAATACTTTTTGACTTCTGCAATAATATTATCACATTCATTTTTATCCAATTTTTATTAACTCAGCTTTAGATAATGCCGCTCAACCGGTATAGTAGTTAGCGTTGCTAACTGCCATCCTGAAGGGCCCGAGTTCGAATCCCGGAGAAGGCATGGATGTTTGCAAATGCAATAGTGTCGGTGCGGCAAGGTGGCACTCTAAATATGCGGCAAGCTGCCTCTTGTGCTGTTTGGTAGGAGGGGGGAAGAAGACCATCGAAAATTCAGGAAGAGCTGAATATTGTCCAGCTCAGCAAATTTTATTACCATCTGACAAGAAACTTCCACTTAAAATTAAGAAATTTTAATAATACTGAATTCAGAATATGTCATTATGATTTTAAAGATATTAACAACAAAAAGAGGTCAATGGCCCTTTTGACGTCTTGGGTTTTTCTTCCACTGTTTTATGTCATTTATTTACTATTCTAAGTGCTAAAGTTTATAAACACACACGTATATATATATATTAAAAACATTATATGTGTTACTCTATTTATTTTGTGCTCACTTTAGAAACTTTTAATTTGTTATAGATGAGTTATGACACTGAGCCTAAGCAACCCGGTGTGTCCAAACACCGTTTCACCGAGCTGAGCAGAAAAATAGATTTCATGAAATTTTTCAATCAATTCAAAGTAACTGTAACACAGTGCACTTGCATTAATAGATAACCGCTTTTTATTATTTAGAATTCGGTTTTCTTCTCTGAATTATTTACAATCGTGAAAGCAGATAATGTAGCAAATTCAAGTTTTTAAAAAATTTCCTAACAGGTTTATCACTATTAAAATGAAAAATAACTAAAATGAAATGCTGTTCGCGAAAACCTTTACTGAATTTTTTGCACTGCTGATTAATTATTTGTTAAAGTAATTTTAATCTTTTAAATTAATAAAATGTTATACGGATAAATTTCATATACACTTTCTTAAGGTGTGTGTGTATGTGTATGTGATTATGACAAAGCCTCGAGGGCTGCCTAAAGGAAGGGATGCCTTGGTGGAGGATTTTCTAAGGGAAATTGGCTCGTATACACGTTACACACTTTCTTAAGGAATGGAATAAAAGATTAATTATGTATTTTATATGCAAACAAATTATTTTGAGTACGAACATCTAAGAATTACTAATACTTTAGTTAATTATTGATTGCGAGCGTTAATAACCAAAAATGATTAAAATTTTTTAAAAAAGTTAATTTCAAATATTTTCAAAGAAACAGATTTTTCAAAGGATAAATATTAAATATAAATCAGTTAATTAGATTAATAGACAAGTAGCAATGACGGCTATTAAAATATGTTTGAAACTCAGTTATTTTACTTTACTTAAATAACATATTCAGATATGTGCTTATGCATAACTTGTGTTAGAGTATATGAAAAATTATAAATTTTCTATATAGTGTTTGACTTTTGTGTTATTTTATGTCTGAATGTAAGATTTCTGATAAGCACATGTCTCCATAAATATAATTAAGCAATTAATGTCTAAAATAAATAAAATTATTAATTTACCAATTTTTTTCCAAGTAATTTTAGGAAGAGGAAAACCATTTGCCAAGCATGTAAATGACGTAATCAGTCCTTCGACTGTTTCTTGATCTTCCGGCTCCGTAATCCATGATGGAGGAGCTAAGAAAATTTAAACTTATGGCGTTCAGGTAAATTTAGCAAGAACAGAAAATATAACATTTACTAGCATGAAGCCTAAATATTCTACTGGTATTATTGAAATATATTGAAAATATTATTAAGGTTTTAATCTTGTAGTAATTTTATATACTAGCAGAAACAAAACTAGTGCATATATTAGAAACACCATAGAATTTAAATTATCCAAATTTACGATTTTCTACTCATAAATATCAAAATTAAAAATTTTCAATAAATTCATCATTATAATCACCAAAAGAACATTATATTTTCAAGATTTAAAAAACCTTAAAATTTTCTATTAATTTTATGACAAGTACATATTGTATAAACAAGTACATATTGTACAAGTATAAACAATTTGAGAAATATCCAATTTAAACATATTAAATTGTTGTAATATTTATATTAGAATGCATATTTTATATATTTCAAGCAAATAGACTCTGTTGAATAAAACGACACTCTGTAACTAAAAATTAAAGCATACTGATTAAATCAAATGCTTTTATCTAGATATTGAAACATATTGATTAAATATTATCGCTTACCTCTTATACTCAAAAAAGCAGAATAAGAATTCTTTCCGAAGGCATTACTGACTGTGCAGGAATAGTTTCCTCTTGATTGTTTAACAACCGGATCTATGATAAGACTTGAAACTTTTTCTAACGTATTTATAGTGGCACCTTCTTTCAAAACGTTTCCATTTTTATGCCATATAAATTTAAAAGGTGGTTTACCTTTCATGACAGTACAGGCAACACTTAAAGTATGTCCTATTTTAACATTTTCTGGAAAGTTAAATGGTTGTATCAAAGGAGCATCTGAAATAGACGAAATTTTGCTCAGCTTTTCTTCACACCATTTAGCACATGGAATGCATCTACAAATTATGTTTTAAAGTTTTGTACATAAATATGCACAAATATTCTCAAAAGAAGATAAAAAGGAATTTTAAATAATCAGTAATAATAGTAATAGCTTACCATTGCAGTATCCTGACTTCAAGAGCATACACAAACCAGTTATTATTGATGAAATGAAGATCCAGTTCATTTGAATATAGGACATAATCACGTCTACTGACTAAGTTCATTACGTTGAAAATGTTCTACGTAAAACGATTAGATGTAACAACATTAAGACATTTAAACACTACACTAGGGGAACAGCAAGTGATTACAATGGCGAATACTGTCATCTAGTTGAAGCCAAAAGCTTCAGATGAAACTGGCATACCACGAACAACTAGCGCCACATACTGGATAATAAAAAAATTAAAAATGAAAGAATACTTGCAAACTTCAAAATAATTCAAATATGATCGTGCTTCATTGGAGCAGTTAGTTTATTTTAACGTCTTTTCATTAAAATAAACTGAACTGAACTCTCATAAACTTAAATAACGGTTGTTATTAATATAAATTCAAACTTTGTGCACTATATATGTAAATAGCACTAAAAAGGTGAATATATTAATTTCAGGTTAGTTAAATTTGCCTTTCATTGCTTGTAATTAACTGATAGTATAATGCAAGATATATATATATATATAACTACAGCTAAGTAAAAGGCAGGAAAGGAAAAAAAATTGCAGATGCGAAATTAAATTTTGGCATAAGATAAAACACTGTTGCATTCAATATTTTATAGCATATGTAAAAGCAGTGTTTATAATGTAAAGTAACATAAACTTTGTAGAAGTATGTATTTCGTATAAGAATGCCATGCTATTAAGATCTGTTTAAAGTAACATCAAAACAAAAATATTCGAAAATAATGTATGAAGATTTCTTTACTAAAATTATGAAAGGAAAATACTAAAAACTACGGTTTAAAAATTTTTATTAGGACTTATTACATGAAAGTAGCAGTAGATTAATGCCTCATAGTGTATAAAATATAAATCATAGAATGACAACAAGTTTCATTTTCGGAGAATTTTAAGACTGTATTCTCAATTTGCTACAAGCATAACGGAACGCTTAAGAGCGAATTTATTATCTTGGAACAGAAGAAATATGTACTTTTAACTGACATTCCATTTTAATAACGCTGTTGAATATTGTAATACAGATACACAGACGACTCGCTATTTTTAACGAAACACAAATAGAAGGCACAGGCTTTATGAAATTGCCGATAAGAAAAAAATTATGGAAAGGATAACACATACCAAAATATATAAAAATTTTTACACAATTTCATTACTTCAGTCAAGTAATATAAAACCTCAATAATTACACGTTTCAACTGATTTTTAATTTTGAACGCAATGCGAATTTTGCAGCATTAGCTGAAACAAAAGAGTCAAGGGAAACATCTGTTATAGATTTTAATGCAAAATATTTCATATACTGTAATATATGCAGCTAAAACCTTTTTCTGTTTCCATATAGTAAACCCTCAGTCATACAAACGAATGGCAATTAGTTTAATAAACTCTAAACAAACTGTCTTACAGAATTCTGTTTTGCTGATAGAAAACTCACATTATTGCAAAATTAAACTAGATTCATATTTACCCTTTATTGTAAGTATTTGGATTTTTTTGTTTTCACTTTTAGAGTAAATATTTGAATTTAACTATTTCAGAATGGTATAATAATATTATCTTATAATTGAAATATATAAAACTGAAAAACTAGCGGATTATTGTGAACTGAACAAATGAAAATTAGTCTTTCATATTTCCGTGAATTTAATATTTAATTGCCAAATGATTAATGTCTTTTTTTTTTCAAAACTTTAAATATTATTCTTGGATCAAATCTTTTAGAGCCTACCATGCACAACAAGTACTGCGGTTTTTCGAAGAGACTCTCCAATTCCATTTTCAACTTCACATTCGTAGCTGCCATCATCTAGTTTGGACACAAACTGAAACATCAAAGTGCCATTTGTAGAAATTTTTTGAAAGGCTTTTGGTTTTTGATAATCCTGTGTATCTGAAATCAAATAAAATATGCAAGGATAAAAAGCACTCTTAATAAAATCTGAGTATTATTTCTCTTAACTTGTTCATTAAATCTGAATTTTTTATCAATTTTCACGTAGTCTAAAAAATAAATTTTATAATTTTTCTTATTTTGTGTACATTCATAATAAAAGCATATCTTTACTTATAAGTGAAACACATTTTAATAAGACATATTTAGGTTTAAATATGTTATTAAATGAGATAATTAATATTAGTAACCTTCCTTCAATAAGTCTTATTACTGTGCGCATGATTTTGACAATGTCAAAATTTCGGCACTTCAAAATCAAATTCTTCAGACATTTCGATTTAAGCGATGTTTAATGAGTGTAGGTAAGGTATGAAAAAGCGTCGGTAAATTTTTCATTTTTTGTTTAAAATAATTTCTTGCCCTATGATTCTTCTCTAATGTGCTCTAATAAACAGGAGTGTTTGTTTTAAGAATTTTTCCAATAGAACGGTTTTAAATAAATTTTAAATATATATTAAAATATTTAGAAACATTTAAATGATAGTGAAGAACAAAAAATATTAAATTAAATGTTATTAATTATGAGTGACAGTTCTTAATAATAAAAAAATTGCAACTGTTTTTTATGCAAAAAAGAATGGGACGAGCTTATTTCAAAGGGAAAGTAAGCTTACACTATTTTTAAAGCAGTCCTTCAAATTACAATGTGAAACCTGAGTGTAAATACTTTCAGTGTTTCTGAAGAAACTTACTTCCTTATCGCTCCATTTTAGAAATGCTAGTAAATGAGACTTAATCATAAATCAAATGGGATTATTGATTACTGAATACAAATTAATTTCATGATACTTATTTTGACCCGTAATGTCCGCAGCGCATGGTTGTTTTAATCATTCATGCTTTCCGGATTGGGAAAAAATTGCCTCATTGTACATGTTATCTAAATCACGATAAATTATAAAATCTTTTCAATGTTAATTGATTATATATTCACCTAGTTTTCTCCACGTGATCGTGGGCAGAGAAGAGCCATTCGCAAAGCAAAATAAACTCGCTGTACTTCCTTCTAAAGTTTCAACGTCTTGAGGTTCTTTTACCCAAGTTGGTGGAGCTAATATAAATGAAAAATTAAATTAGATATGAAATCACTGTTTACATATCCAAAGCATTGAAGTAAGACTATCTAAACAAAACTGTTTTTGAATCCATTAAATCATTCACTCTGATTCAAAATTAAAGAAACCTATAATTTTATATTCATCATATGTAGAACTAAATATAGAAAAAGTAATTAAAAAATTTTCTAACAACTTCAAAGAAATTTCTTGTTAAGAGTAAATTTTCCATCCTTTACCTTAGACCATATCGAATTTTTACGCATCTGAACCATGTCAGTTATTCTATGTTAATTTTTTATTCGATATTTCTGAATCAGTAATTTATCTTACTCACATTGTTTCGGCAGAATAGTTTTTCAAAAAAGCTTAGAATTATTTCTCACGCATTTACTTTAATCTTGTCATGATAGTAGGATTTTAAAAGCTAAGGTAAGAGGAAATATTCTGAGATACGATAGTTAACTTTATGAAATATGTTTGAAATTTAAATTTTCTTTTCATGCATAGACATCATAAAAATGATATTTAATTTAAAGGGACATCGTGATTAACGCTGTAACGAGATGCATTATACATGCAATATTTACACTCATGATACTGGAACGAATCGCTCAAAACACGACAGGATATCAGAGAAAAACCTTTTAAAATGCGCAGTGCATCTGATGAGTGTAGTCAAAAATATTTATTGCATCACGTTAATATTATAACATGTCAAATTTTCAGACTAAATTTTGTCTCTGTTACAGACTGATATTTTGTTTAAGCATTCTTAAAACAGAAAATAAGATTGTAGAGACATTAGTTATTTTTTTGGAAGCAAGCAAAATGAAAAATGAGCAGTCGCTTTCGCCGAGAATCGAACCACGGACCTCTGGAATACCGACCCAGCGTGCAGAACCATTATACCACGAAAGCAGGGTAGGAATGCGAAGAAATACCTTTTAAACGTAGAGGGATAATGGTTTAGGTGCGGAAGGATACTGCAAATTCGTTGCCGAAATTAAATCATTTTTGCATTTTTGGAACGCTTCGCGAGATTCTGTGGTCCAGGTTATAACACGTGTATCGGTTCTCTTACTTCCATTCTTATAAGATAATGCCATTATTGCGATCTTTTAAGAGAATGCAGTTCCTAAAAAATCACGAACTTATGTTAATTTTATTGTGAAATAGTGTACATCTGATTTTCTTAAAAAAACTTGCAATTCTTTGAACTTGTTAAATTCAAGATTAAATTAGATGTTTTTAACCCTAATATGACATCTATGACATAAGATTTTACCTTTAATACTTTAAAATGTTTCTCGTGTTCTTGATTAACATGTCTATTTATACTTCTTTTCAGTTAGTCGGAATTCCAGATATTTTCAGTTTTCTTCTCAATAACCTCATATCATATCATTTGGTTTCATTTTCTTCTTATTCAGGACACAAATTTCAAATCACAAAGATATTTATGAAATTTGCACTTGCATTTATCAGTTTCCGTAGATCTACGTATACTCTGCAGATTTGACAGATTTTATTTGTTATTAATCTGCTTATAATACAATTCTTCCCCAAAAGTTCGATTCTTATACCTCTACCAGATTTAATGATTTCTTATGTTTTACAGACAAATATAACATTTTAAACAGACTTTAATTGATTTATTCAATTTACTTTTACTACAAAGATATTATCACCAATTTGTAATTCTTATTATGAAACATAGCCTAAACTTATACGATGTTTGTTTGAGCTGAAAACTCATTCGATATCATGAACAGAGTCATTAGAGTTGATTCTTGTAATAAAAGTTACCAGTATTAGATTTATGCTTAGACAGCTTATAAGCTAGAAATATTGAACTAGAAAGGCAAAGGCTAGAAATATTAGACAATTCAGCAACTTTGCTTGCAACTTGACGCACAAGATCAAATATATAAATATAAACGATATTAAATGAAATTCCATGCTTTCGTACATAGGCGTACTTTCATTAAACAGTTAACGGAACCTGATCAAACAGAAAATTACCTTAAAATGTTCATTTTTTACAACAAATCAATTAAATCAATGACAAGTATCACCTTATGTTACCATGAAAATACACGGTGCATTATCAATAATATATATATCTGTTAAATAAGATTTTACTCTGAAAGTCTTTTTCATTGCTCTTTAGAATATTTATTACAAATTCAAAACATTTTTTGAATCACCGAGTAAATATTTTTCTCCTAAAGTAATTAAAACTCCTAATTTTTATTGATTTCTTATATTAGATCTATGTTTTTACTAATATCTGAAATATTTAAAATTATGGAACAAGTGATGACCTAATGTGAATGCTGATTCCTTTCGGATATCTAATATGTGACTTGATCAGTTTTGTTCTATCACACCGAAAATTATTATGTAATGAATATGAGATCTAGAATTCTACAGGCTCAGAAAAGGACATCCTCTGCTTAATTTGCATGTCAAACCAAACAAGAAGAACATTATACGTTTTATCATTTATTAAGCCAGTTAAGAATTTAAATTTCTAAACAAAACAAAAGTGAAAATCTTATTAATTTAAATTTGAATAAAAATGAGCAGTTATCACTCACGTGAGCATGTGAGTTTCATAAAAATTAATACTAAATCGGTGTTTCGGTTAGGTTGTTATAAAAAAGTTCATTTTTATCATAAAGAAGAATTAATTTCACAGCGGCATTTTTCGGCTTGAAATTTCCTATACATAAATCATCTTTCTTGTTAATATTTAAATACAAGTATGACGATGAGAATTAAACTTAATATTTAAAGTTTTTGCAAGCATACCTCTCACTTTCAAATATGCAGTGAACTCATCTTGTCCATCTTTACTGTGCAGAATGCAAGTGTAGTTTCCAGCCGAATTTTCTTCTACTGGTTCTATAATTAAATTAGATATTTTGTTGCTAGAAATAATACTGACTGAAGATGATTTCTTCATCGGATTTCCGTCTTTAAACCAACTGAATGTAAATGGTCCGTTGCCTCGCATAACTGTACATGTTATGCTTGCAGTGTCTCCTCTTTTAATTTGCGAAGGGAATTGAAATGGCTGGATTTTTGGAGCATCTAAAAAAAACATTCTTTGTAATATGTCGTCATATCAAATTATTCTATATAGTACTTTATTACTTAAAAATTAAATTAAGCATTTTATGACGTCTATATTTTTTCACACTTCATTTTTAGCCTTATGACAGTTATTTAACATAATCTTTGCGAATAAAATGCATAATTATAATTTAAAATCCTCTTTAATGAAATTAGGAAATATATGAATATTTCAATGTAATTTGAATGTTTAACCACTTAGCAACGAGTTATGATTTGGTCTAAAAATCTCTTTTATACTTTTTAATTTTGATTTGAACAATAAAAATGACATAAATATTCACTAAAAATTACTTTTCTCCTCATTATACAGTATTTTATGAGACTGTTAATAGTTATCATAAAACAATTTTAATTTTGCGGTCGTATACACTAAATGAGAAAAAAATAATATTCTTCTACAAAATAGTCATCCGAGTATTTATATTTTTAAATCAAAACATTTATTGTTAGGTTACCACCTGAATTTTTTAAAACTTATTTTAATAAGATTTCTATTCCTTATCGTACTTTTATAATTCATAACATCGATCATAATATAATAATAATTGAAACTAATGTTAATTTTAGTTTTACTCATTCTTAAACTACAATATAACAACTAATACTTTTTAAACATATAATAAATTTCTAGGTAATAATTACACAAACAAGCAACTTGATTTATATTCTGTAACATTTCAGCAATATGCACAGATTCCTAATGCATATGATGAGACATAATGGAATGCAATCAAATGTGGAAATTATATATCTCGTCATCTTTTTAATAATATACTTCATATAAAGCCTTTAAAAGAAAATTAAATTTTGAAGAAAGTTGTAAAAAGTAACTTACCATTAGATGTAGCGAGATGAACTAAGCACGTTAGGAACGTCGAGTTATAACGAACGTCGAGTTATATGCAGCTGAGCAGTTCACGACACTATTTAATAAAGTTCAAAAGATGAAGACATTTCGTAAAGAAGAAAATGCCTTCCGTTACTAATTATTAGTAGCAAAGACAAAACATTAAGTAATATTATCGCTTTTTATTATTGTTTTAACAAACATATATTTCTCAATTGCAAAGTGTGAAAATAATCTGCACAGTATAACACCACACTCTAAAAGACATGTCTAAAAAATTACGTTAATTTTTCTTCAGATGAGCACTTTTATTCAGTACCATTCTTGTACAAAATTTTGTTATTGTACAACGTCTTCCACATATCTGTTACTGTGCTGGAAACTGGCGAGAATTCAATATGTGGACAACGCTAAAAATGTTACGAAGCATACATGAACAACTAGCGCCACATTCAGGGCAAAACACGAAACATAATTTGCTAGAATTAGGACTCATACACGTGTTTTTATTAGTAATAATTATTAGAAATGTTAATAATATTTATTTGCATTGCTGGAAAATACTTTTAATTTGTGACTGGTGTAAAATATTTATGCTTTTTATCAAGAAGAAATACTCTTGTAACCAGTTATATTAACACACTCATTTCAGTTTCAAATTCAAGTATTTATGGAAAACTCCGCATTTCATTCTATCCCTTGTACAGATATCACATTGTAAATAACTTAATATATTTTAAAATTCATATTAAAGTAACCATATTGCAGGAATACTTTGAAAATCGTCAGTATGTTACGAAACATATATGACATAGGTGGTACAATAAACTGCTGAGAACACTAGTTACAAGAAATATAATGATACAATGGTTTCATTTATGCTTCTTAAAGAATGGGACGTAAAATTACCATAGACAGTAACAGATATAATTTTACGAAGTGGAGTTCCGACTCCATTGTCAGCTTTGCAAGAGTATTTTCCTTCGTGGACTTTAAGCAGAGGACTGAACACTAGAGTTCCATTTATATTATTATGAATACCATTCGAAGTTCCACGATCTGTAAAAGAAAACATTATAAATTAATACTTTGCTTATTGACACTGTGGGATTTAAAAAGCTATTTTTATTTCAGTAAAGTTTTATGCCCATTCGCATATAGTTTTTTACTATAGTTCTACGGTATTTCATAAGCATTTTTTCGTAAATCATCAAGAAATATAAAGTAAATTTTGAGTTGATTGCTTCCAGTCAAGTATACTGCATACATGGTAATTACAACGTTTTAGTCAATGTGATTAATACCAGATAAAATGTTAAGGTATTTAAAATTGGTATCAGTAACAATAAAATGTTTATTAGAGTAAATATATTAATATCAAATAAGAAGCCAAGTAAACATTCAAAATTCTTTTAAATTCAATATGAAGATGATAAGGCCTCGCGGAAATCATTAGTTCTGAGTGTTATCGTGGAAATAACTAGTTCTGAATGTTATCGCATATATCTCATTTTATCTTTAAAATCATCAGGCGATCAATAATCATGAGTTCTGCATCAGAATAAACATCCGGAGGCTGCAGATCAGCTATACGTACACATTTATTTGTTAATTGATTCTTTTGAATTTATTTGTTAATTGATTTTGATTTGATTCTGTATTAAATGCTACTTCTCATATTATATTGTGAACTGCATGTTAGACAATTATGTAATGTAGCTTTAGTAACTTAAAATCAGTTTAAATCTTTACCTTCTCTTCTGAAATATATTTGTGGTGATGGGAATCCAGCAGCACTACAGATCACTCTTACGGATTGCCCTTCAGTAGCTTCGATGCCATATGGCTCTTTTACCCATGATGGTGGAGCTAGATTGATATTTGGAAATATAAGTGGCTATCGAATTTATGTATATATATATATATATATATATAATTTTTTTTTCAAATGTTTTAAACAATCGTACTTTAGATAAAAAACGAAGGATAAGTCTATTATGTAAAACTATCAAAGTTATTGAAATATCTTTAAATAATAATCAAAATTACCGATTCCCAGGTTATCGAACTTAATATGATAGAACGAATAATCGAGTTATAAAACTTATCATAAAACTGAAGTATTTATTACAATCAAAATAAAAAACGAAAACTCGAGATCACAGCATTTCGAAATGCAACATAATTCAAAGAACTCATTGTTAAGACAAAATTATACAAATCAGTAAAAAAGGAAATAGATTATTGCCCTCTACTTAGGCCAAATAACTGAATTTTGTTTCCTAGTAAAAGGCCCTCCCATCGGAGGAAACACAAATTTTAGAAAGAGCTACATAAATGCTTAGTGCCACACATCGAAATATGCAGCTGAGCAGTTCACGACACTATTTAATAAAGTTCAAAAGATGAAGACATTTCGTAAAGAAGAAAATGCCTTCCATTACTAATTATTAGTAGCAAAGACAAAACATTAAGTAATATTATCGCTTTTTATTATTGTTTTAACAAACATATATTTCTCAATTGCAAAGTGTGAAAATAGTGTAATCTTTTTTTTTAAATTTGGAAACCAAACCCTATTCTTTTCAGCAGTTCTTTAGTTTATGTAACACAAATTAAGATAACACGGTATATTATAGGAAGCTAGATATTGCTGCACGAAAGTTATCTGTAATTTGTTCTAAAGGAAATAAAGTACATGTTATTTACTTACCTTTAACGGAGAGGAAAGCAGAATAATTGTCACTTCCATAGGGACTGTTCACAGAACATGTGTAATTTCCTACAGACGCTTCTTCAACAGGATCAAGGAGAAGAGTAGAAAATTTCTCATTAGATTCAACGCTTATTCCCTTGGTTTCTTTTAGTGAATGACCATTTTTGTACCACTTGTAAGAAACAGGTGAGTGTCCCCGCATTATCAAACACTGAACACTTGTTTTATCTCCTATTTGTATGTGCTTTGGAAACTGAAATGGCTGAATTTTTGGAGATTCTGAAAGAAATTCTTAGAATCAACATAACTGCATAACAGAAATTATAAAAAGGAAAGTTTTTATTGTGCAACTATAAAAAAATATTACTAAGTTATGTTTAATTAATAACATTTTCAGCGATGTTTAACATATTTTATCTTATAACAGATATTTTAATTCTATGAAAACTAACAATATACTTTCTGTTTCAAGATGCTTAATTTATTTTCTTCTTTCTTTACAAACAAAAAATAATGCGGTTGATATATGAGAATTGCTTAGAGTAATAACTTCATAAATTATTTCTAAAAGAAACCTAATTAAATATGAGTTTATTAATTTATGATATGCAGTTAATTGAAATTGAGTTTATATTTTGTTTAAATATGAACGAAATAAGAAAAATCTTTGGCATCTAGTAACTGTTGCTTCTGGGAATAAGGGTTAAAAAAATAACAGCATAAAATAACTGTTTAAGATCTTGATGGACCTATGCCCAACTCGGAAATCTTTAATTAATACTTATCCTGTCTTAACAGTTTTTGATCCACAACAACAATTAAAGGTATCCAAACACATTCGAAGAATATTTTCTTTCAAGAAATATAGTATAGGTATATAATAAACACTTTTTTAGCTTATTCTTTACAAAAGAAATTATGGAACATTCAGATTTAATATATTTCGATGTTATTTCTATCCTGCAAAAATATTAAATATAGGGGAAATTATAAGTGAATTTAAAAACAAATTGAAACGTCCTCTATGGAAAACCATGTAGAGACATTAGGTACTTTTTGAAAGTAGAAGCGATGAAAAATGAGCAACGCCCTCGCCGGAAATCGAACCACGGACCTCTAGAATAAGTGTCCAGCGTGCTGACCACTACACTACGAAAGCATACTAAGAAGGCTGGAGAAATACTTTATATACCCCCCTTTTAACCCTTTGAGGGGCGGTATATAAAATAATTTAAACTGTAAAATTTTGCATGAACTATAACTTATGGACCCTAAGGACACAAAATTGAGACTTAAAAAAAATCTAAAGCGAAATCCTGAATTTTGAGAGCCGGTATATATTTTATACCGGCGCCCCTCTAGGACATTTTTTTTCCAGGTAGTCGCCAACTGTAAATCTTTGTTTTTTAAATTAATTTTGGGTACTTTTGATGTGCGTCTGTAGTGATGAGCGCTTGAATATAGTTATGTAAGTCTAAAGACAAATTTTTTTTTAAATTTCAGCAGAAATTTAAAATTTTAAAAATAAAATTTATGTTTTTATGCACTTTGATGATGCAACCCAGCTGAACATACTTATGTAAAATATGAGGTAAAAAGCTTTTCAACTTGATTTAAATTCAATATTGTTATTTTATAAAAAAATTAGCAAATATAACACTGCATGTGTATGTAAATCCGTATCATGCTGTAACTGAACTAGTATAATATTACAAGCAGATGTAACTCAGCCGAAAATTAAAAAAATTGAAAAATGAAGCACTACGACCGACTCAGCTGAGAAAGTATGTTGCATTTTTGAAGTTATATTTTATGCTTTAGATAATATGTGAAAAAAACCATGCTTCATACTATGATACGAAGAATCGCCCGCCCCCTCCACGCACACACACTTTAGATCATCGAGGACCGTAAGGGTCCCTTTTTTATTTTTTGTAAATATAGGTTGTAATATATCTTTTTGTTCAGGAAGAAACGCCATTAAACAATTTTATTATTTGATACACCTCAAAGCTCTTATTCTGATTTTCAATCCCCTTTCGGCTTCATAGGGGCTCCTTTTCAACTTTTGGATAAATTTTAGTTTGCATCTAAAACGGGGCTTAGAAATATTTTTCCTCCTTTCACGAACTGTAAAATTTATTTCCGAAACAACCTATTTGTATCAACCAGAGTGCAAATTTCTCTTGTGTTCTCTAGTCTTTCATCTGAAATTAACAAAGAATTAAAAAGAATTTCCCTAAAGAATAAAGGCATGCTTTCAAACCAGTAGTTTTTGTGATTACACTATGAGATGGACCTTAAGTACGTTTCCATTTTAAGTGAGCTTTCCCTTTGTGCGATCTTATCACATTTCACAAAGGGAAGAAGGCGTGACTCCCGAATGACAAATTGGTTGTCAATCACCTCTTTTCTTACATTCTAGGATTTTGGAAAACAAGAAGCAACAGGTGTCTTTTGGGGGCTACCATGCCACGTTTAACCCCCACAATTTTGTAAAGTTTTGACCCCAGACGGCAATTTTGAAATCAATGAGTCTTTCTCTTGGGAAAGAGATAAGTGCTGAAATAAAAATTTTAGCTAAACACAGATGAATGAAACTTGAGCTGAGTACACAAATAATAAATTAAACTAATACACTTGTATTCAGTCCTAGCGCAGAGTCAGTAAACTCCCCAGTCCTCCATGATCATAATATTTAATCATAAACGACTTATAAGTTAATCATGAAAAATTATTACGTCATAAACTGTTATAATAATAAAGAAATTCTGTCATGTCACAGAGTAGAAAAGGAGAAGACTGGTGCTGCCATCTATTGGCGTGGTACCCTCAGTGTGGGCGCCGGTATATATTATATACCGGTTTTAAAATCGTATAAATAATCTTCTGTTAATTATCACTTCTGACTGAAATGAAGTAAATATATAAGATTCAGCATGTGTACGTCATATATTTGCAGATTTTGAATTTTTTCTTTCCCTCCAATAGAATTTATCAATCTTCCAACATGATACCTTGGAACGAGGTATATTAGTTTTATAATTGTAAAATATTGAGCATTCATAGGGTGATGTTGCTATTTAGAATCGAAAGAAAGTACTAGACACTTACGATTATAGCTTTTGGTGTAGTAAAATTAGCATTTTTTCGGAGGTTAAAAAATTGACAAACAACCGGTATATATTATATACCGGTGCCCTTCAGAGGGTTAAAGGGAGACTGGGGTTTTCAGTGGACCCAATAGTCAAATCCTAGGTGTGGAGAATCATCATCCACCACCCTTTTAGTTCGGACGCCACTGTAGAGACATTAAGTAATTTCGAAGTAGGAGAGATGAAAAATAAGCAACGCCCTTGCCGGGAATCGAACCACGGACCTGTGGAATACGCGCCCAGCGTGCAGATTACTACGCTGAACTACTACGCAGTTCTACTACGCAGATTACGAAAGCATGCTAAGAAGGCGGGAGAAATATTTTATAACTATTGAATTACATAAGAAAGGTCGTGCATTAATAAATTGTATGCTTTTATCTAGAGAATGATATATAATTTTAAGTATTTATTAAAAGGTGAAAATGTCTCAATTTATAGAAGTTTTTTATGGGATTTTCAATAAATTCGCGATATCGTTGTTTTATTAACAAATCACAATTTCAAAAATATTTAGAACATAAATATTAAGTCACTTATTTTATTAACAGAGCCTCCCAATTTAAAAATATTTATAATATAAAGATTCTGTTACATCATTCTCAAGAAACTATTTATAGATTAAGTACCCAATATTTCATAAAAATAAAAAACAGTAATTTGATTTTTCTTTCATCAAGTAAGAAAGTTTGAGATAAAACATCAAAATCTCAGCCACATACCTAAAACTCCCCATATCTATAAGTTACACCTTTTTTGCTCAACTTTATCTGTTTGGTTTTATTTAAAAAGCGTATTTGTTTTTGTGGCAATTTTTAGTCTGGGCAGTGAGTGACATTTCGATTCACATATTTACTCCATGTCGAGCTTACTAAAACCTTGGGTTGCATGTTCACAATATTGTGTACCTATTCAATGTAAAATATCTTGTAAGCCTCTAAGCATTGTGTTAAATTGTATAACAGCCATGTATGCCCCCCAATTTAAGAGTTTGTAATTCCACAAACACATCCATCGGTATAAATTTCGACAAAATGCCATTAAAACTTCCGTCTTCATTTTGCGTCTTTCCCTGTAAGCGAATTTATGAGAGTTTCTGCTGATTTAGAATCATAACTATTCAGACTTCAAAATATTAATAACATTCTTTGGCAGTCCTTTGGATTTGTTTGTGTACATTCTTCAAGCTCGCAGATATTTACACCAGTTGTCTAGTCCTACTACTCAGTTGTCATGCGTAGGCAGTTTTGCATTAGAGCAGGTGTGAAAAAAATAGACAAATCATCGCACTATTTCTGATTACAGTTGCACAGTAATTTTGATGTTAGTTAATAAACACATCCGTTAGTCAGCGACGTTGACATGTCCACCAAGATCTTTTTGTTTCCTTTTCAATTTTCTCAGCCTGGAACAAACGGCGCTTCTGTATACGGATGATCTATGCTTTCACATTTGGTGACACTATTTACAGTTTACATATCTTTCACATCATAAATCGCTTTCAAAAATATCTCCTGCTGATGAGCAATTTTTTAACTTTGGTTCACTCGATATAAAAATTGCTTTAAATGGCATATTTTCAAATTCCTTCCCAATACGTTTTATAAATTTATTCCTTACACTTTTACAAGTGCGGCTTTGATTTTTTATCACCCATTTCTAGACTTTAACACAAGTGTCATTAAAATAATCAAAGAATAAGATAAAACTAATTGCAATATATAATGTTTTGAGACAAAGTCAGACCTTAGCGAGATATTTTGAGCATGTAAAAAATAACAGTATTGCATAAGATTCTTTTCATTTCCTCTTTTTCAAAGCCTTTTAAATTATATTTCAAGAAAAACTGTGAATGCTCATTTTCGACATTTTTCTGCTTTTTGAAAGCTGATTTCTGGTTCTGGTGATTTAAATGCCCACTTTCGGTTTTTGCTCATCAGTAGAAGATTATGAATGAAATCTTTAATTTGAATTTATCTTTAATTATTTATGAAATCTTTAATACTTCAGTTTCTAACTAACATAGAAACAAAAAGAAACCAGTTCCGGAAATCCAAATAAACAATCTCTCTAATGAATGAATAAAAGGAAATTGGCATTTTGGGTCAAAATCGGCATTTTCAAAAAATTCTAAATGCTGATAGATATAATTCTTTTTTTTTATGTTTCACACCAGAGAATATTATGTATGGTGTGTGTGTGTGTGTGTGTACACAAGAAGGAGAAGAAGTTCAAATTATTCAAAAATTTCATTTAGTATTATGTCATTTAAAATGCTTGAATCTTCATAAAAGAATAAACAAATATGTTAAAGATACAATTATAACTATAATTAGGTAAATTAATGGTACAATAATAAAATACAAAAGCAGATGCTCGATCAATTGGGAAATAATTTTAAAAACTGTTGGAAATAAATATTATTATTGTTAAACTAAAATATAATTTCTCTTTTAATTCTCTTAATTGTATATTACTATGTCTGAGATATTTGTATTTACTGTTTAGTTTTCTGTGGAAGTGTATTATCATTATAAATGATAAATGCATTTTTTACTGTTTTTAACTAAACAGTCGTTAAAAATAATCAAGACTCAGTTAATAACACTTTCGGTTAATTTGAAAGAAAAAATACATATTCAACTTTCATTTAAAGTTAAAATAAAAAAAGAGAATAAATATTTTAGGAAATAAAATTTTTGTAAATTATGAATTGGAAGTTATATCGGAGATTTCTCATTGTTGCGATTTATGTTCAATTTGTTTTGCAATTAAATAAATGAAGTCGGAAAAAAGTGTTACACGGTAACATACGTCTAAAATTTTTAAAGCTGAATTAGAACAAACGCTCAGTCTAAATAATTGCATAATGTTTACATATTGATAAATATGAAGGATTTTTATCATATTTATTTAGATTTAGCGGTCTAGATGCACGAAGAATAGGGAAACATTTATTTCATAACAAGAAGGTAAGATTTTCAGAGATTTAAGTTACGAAAAACTCCCGAAATTGGAAATATGTATTCATTAACTTATATCTATAATTAAATTAATTTAAAAATATCGATTAAAAATTCATAGTGTGAAAAGCACACATAACATGGTAAATAAATGAAAACAACTTACCTTTCGAAGCTGAGCATACAACGGCAGAGAATAGTAGACTGCTACAAAGACTCGCAAATAATTTTGCAAGCCATTTAGAATGCGATTTCATTTTCTATCCAGTCTTCTGCTTTAATCAGAATATATATAAATACATATTTTAAATAACATTATTAGCTCACTTATTTTGTGACGTAGATATCTTAGCGTAAAAAACACACCAACGCTTTGACTTACATTCTCAGCGTTGTTACTTAGTATGGTGCCGTACGAGCAGCGCCACATATTGGGATAAATAGGAAGTAGTAAATGAAAAACTGATTTCCCATTTAATTGAACAACATCTTTTAAATATGCAGTTGTAATTTAAAGAAACTGTTATTAATTTCCATTCTACTAATTTTTAACACAAGATTATTTTTTTACAAACGTAACCTTAACTATTTTCTTGGAAGCTTTACTCTATAGAAGTGTACGAAACCCAAAGGCAAGAAGGCACAATTTTATAAAAATAACTCCAAGAAATATCGTTTAACATATTTTAAAAATACATACAGACAGTGATCTAAATTCATCACCAAATTAATTTGAAGTTGTATGAATGACAGAAAACATGTTATTTACAAATCATACCGAAACATTTTTAATGCGACATTTCCCTTTTCTTCTACACATGTGTTTCAAAAAGGTTTCATAATTAAATTCTTTCATCTGCTCGTCGTAGATTAACGGGTCCATTTCTAGAAACAGATGAAATGAGTCGGGCTATTATGACTATCATAACTGTGGGGATATAACATCTCTTAGCGAAAATATACGAAATTTATATAAGCTCTTTGCAAATAGTGGTCCAACCAGTAAGTTGTTTCTCACACTACTAAAGATATTTTAACCCAGAAATATTTCATGCTTCAATTTTTTATTTATTTAGATCTTTTATACTTTTACTCGGTTTGCAAAATGCAGAGTTTATCCTGGAAAGAATAAAAAAGGCTGTCCAAATTATATGACTTAAAGCAATCACACTCGATAAAATTTGTGTTGATTTTCGGAGCAGTATAAGACAGAATTTCATGAAATACAAAGTTTCGGATTTTCGAACTTCGAAAATTCTATTTAAAAGCAATGCTTTTAAGTTACTGCGTTTTCTCATATTAAAAAAACGAAACTGAATAACTATTTTAAGTATTTTTCACTTTTTAATCTGTCGTCTAATTTGTCTAAAAACTTAAAACAAACCGTTTTTAGAGACTCTTCAGCTTAATCCACATGACAGATTACTAATAATAAAATTTGACAATTGAATACAATTAAGACAATTCATTGACCATAAAAATATCATGATTTTTTAAATGGCTACAGTTATCTTCACCAAATGTTGAAAATACTAAGTATAATTGAGTACTTAATATTCTTAAAACTAAATACTCGATATGGAAAAATCAGACTTACAAAAATTGCAATAAATAATAACAGCACTATTTCCTGTTCATTAGAGTATTAAGTACGAATTTAGTAATCATATTTAACACATCCAGATGACACATAATATTGATATACTAAATAAAGCAGTCAGTGATGTAAACTAAAGGCACAGAAAGAATGGTTTAGTTTCCTTTGGAAAGATAACTCCATAAAGAAACCAAGAAACAGTAATATTTTCTTTGGAATAGCGTAAAGTATATAGCTTGGGAAATACAATAAAATAGTTTGGAAATCACATTTATTGTAGCAAAACCTTTAAGAAAAAACATAATATAAATATGTAATGTTCACATTATATTATCAAATACACAACTAGGTTTTGATATAATACTTTACGAAAGAACATTAGTATGCAATAAATCTCTTTCTGTGAAATTTCAAGCGCATAGATAAATTATTACTTCCCTTTTACTTAAGTATTTAACACCAAAACTAATCAATTAATTAATAACAATATTTAGTTACCGCATGTCATAAAAAGTAACCGCAGAAACGTGGTAATTAAGTTGAACACTAATTTCAATTTTAAAATTAGTGCAATACCCACAAGCACATATTACATAAGTTTGCACACGTTACATCTGTTAGGTAGATAAATATTTCGTATTCAAGATTTTTTGTAAATCTATCACCATATTTTTACCAAAAAAAGAAATGCTTAATCTCTGAGATCAAGGAAGAGAAACATCTTTACCCGAATTCAAAGGTCAGACAGTCTCAAGGCATAAATTAATTTATTATTCTAAAGAAACTGTAAGCATTAAATGAACTGGAAGGCAGAAAGCTTCAACAGAATTTAAATTCTCATATTTTACATATCAATTTTTTTCCGACCTTCACAGCCATACGAGCATTTCAGTTCAGATATCAATACTGTTTAAGATTAATTTCAAGAATTATTTTCGAAAATTGTTTTGAAAGAAATTTTTAACAGAAATATTCATATCGCCTTAGTTGAGAAAGTATACCTGCCATCATTAACACGTAGTTTAATGTAAATTTCGAGACATAAAATGAATGGAAAACATCAGTATAGAACATATTTAATTTTAATTAATATCAAGCAAATAATAATGAAATATGTGTTGATTTCGATACACATTAAAAACGAAGGACCATAATTTCAATTAGTTTTATTGTACATTTCGAGAATGTCATCAGCTAACATCTGCTTAATCTTCCAATGAAAAAGCTATTTCCTCAGTATACATTTCAACAGAAATAGCTTACATACAGATTTGTTAGTTTTACTTATAAAAACTGCATTCACATACTTTTGCGGGTACGTATATCAACGTAGTTTCATTGGAAAAAATTGCAAGAAAGTACAAGTATATGCTGAAATTTATGAGACTTCTTTTCTAACAAGTATACTACTATCTCGATTATATGAGTGAATATAAGAAGCTATTTTAAAGATTTTTAAAGTAGACATTCCTTTAAGAATATACATTCCAAAAAAAATATTGTATCTTTTACATTGAATTTAATATACTAGTTCTAAGTCTCAAAATGTTTAACCTAAGTAAATGACAATCTGAGTAAAATTAAGAAATATGCATAATAAATAGCGAGTTATACATTTATTAAAAAGCTAGGTAAGAACAGCATTTGAGGCATAACAAAGCAGTTCGTTTAATAGCCAATGCAGAAACCGAGAAATCTGGTTTTGACATCTTTCTGAAACAAAATCTGTTCAAATCTTACTTGTGAAACCACTGCCTAATTAAAATATGAATTATCTACTTAAAAAACATCGTATTGTGTAAGTGATTATCTGATGTATGTATATCTAAAATAATTGAAGACATATCAATATAAAGCAAGTAGTACGTATCAATTAAAAGCAATAAATAAATTATAATATACTCAGTTGCTGAAAATTTTCTGTGATGGTAGCTCTTCTCTGGTTTGTATTCATCAGTAGATACTTTTAAAAAAATACAGCAAGTTATGAAACAAAGATGTAAATAAAATTTACCCACGAAACACAACATTATACATTCGAAGAATGATGTCACATGAACATATATTGTCCCAGAATCGGTTTTGGTTTGGTTTGATTTTATTAGATTACGGCAAAGCACTCAAGGGCTATCTGCCTTAAGGGAGGGATGCCTTCGTGGAGGATTTTCTAAGGGAAACTGGCTCGTATACACGTTACACATGGGGAAAACGACGAAAACGCCCATGCAGCCAGCCCGTTCGGTCCCAGTATCGAAAACTATTGAGTTGAATAATGTGTTTTTTACTATAAAATTTTGAACCAGAAGCCTTAAAAGATATGGAAAATATAATGAATCAGCTCAGGATTCTTAAATTATGAATCATAAAACAAATATCTTTTCTTTTAAAATACAATATAATCTATCAGATGAACAAAAAACGAGACCATATATGTAATAAAATTGCCGTTATATGATGGTAGAACAATATCATATACTCTTAAGACAATATTTCTTCTTAAATAAAGAGACAGTCTACCTAAAAATGGATTTTATAATTTTGTATTGGAAAAATGTTTAACTAACGTAAAATAAACAGTAAGCCGAACGATATACTGATATAAATGCACGAAAACATATAAAAATGTGTTATATTTGCAATAATGGGTGTTCGTCACTTCAAAGTGGTAACTACCTTCCCCTCATTTACGATAATAACGTGTGTCGTCATCATCCTCACAGAAGGAAATTAGGGAGATTTAATCAAATTACAAAATTCGACCATCTTCTGCGGCAATCGTTAATTTGGTTTTGAGGCAAACCAGAAATGAGAAACGGCCTTGAAGTACCTTATCTAAAGTAACCGACTGTAACATTATCCACTCATAATAAAAGATTACACTAAATTCAGACTCGCAGAAAAGGCGAACAGTTTTACGAAAACAAAAGTAATCTTCATAAAATAAAGATAAATAATGCTTTAATAATTTCACATACTTTGTGAAATGTCTTCAGATTCTAAATTAATTTGCATTCAGTTCGAAAAATATTTTAATTATGTCCATAAATATGAGGTATAGAAAACGATAAATATATCTCGATTTAAAACATTTCGGCGTAACTAAACATGGAGTATTTAAATAACTATTCGTACATAATTCGTATATGCATTCGTGTATACGTTTTTTTTTTAAATATATCCTGCATATTCGCAAGCGATCATCACACTAAGAAATCTAAACAGAAGTACCCTAGACAAGGTAGAGACATCACAAAGTTTCCTTCCAACCTTATATTGATGAATGAAATGTAGGAAATACTTTTTTTTTTTTTTTTTTTTTAGTGTTTCTAAGCACAAATCTTTTCTTTCCAAATATTCAGCATTGTGAATACGTCTTAAATATATAAGCATTATAAACACTTTACACTACGAATAGTTATAATCATTAATGGACAGTTAAATAACATAAAAGACCAATACTACCGTATACTGTCAGTGTTACTGTTTTCTTAAGAGATGCACCAGCTCCATTTTCAGCTGTACATTCATATACTCCTTCATGTATTTTTAGAACTGGTTTGAATTTTAATGTACCATTTATTGTGTCCTGTATAAGATGAATGCCATGCTCTTTTTTCGAACCTAAAACACAAATTTTTATAAAGATTTTAACAAAGAAATAATTATTAATCTTACTATCGTTACTACTCATATATTTATTAAAACAAATAGCATATTTTAAACTAATATCTATCATTTGTTATCAAAAAGCTATAGAAGAGCAAAAATGATGTCAAGCC